GCAGGACCAACTGGTTCTGGTAAAACTTATTTCATCAGGGACATGATCAACAAAGCGGCATATATTTGTGATCCGCCACCAAAGTCTATTACTTATCTTTATGGAGAGTATCAAAAAATGTTCAATTCAATGAATGAAGTGAAATTCATTGAAGGACTACAAGAAGGAATAGTTAATGAACTCGGAAATGATGAGGCACAGTGGTTAGTTATAGACGATTTAATGCTAGAGGCAGTTAATCAAACTTTTGTTAGTAACTTGTTTACCAAAGGGTCTCATCATAGAAATATTTCTGTAATTTTAATTACTCAAAACTTTTTCATGAAAGGAAGAGAGAGTCGAAACATAAGTCTCAATAGTCAATATGTTGTATGTTTTAAAAACCCGCGGGATAAATCTATGATTACAAGCATAGGACGTCAAATGTTTCCGACAAAAATAAAGAAATTTCAAGGTGCCTATGAAGATGCAACTCAGGGACCATATTCTTACCTTTTTATTGATCTGAAGCCAGACACACCTGAAAAAATAAGATTATTGACGAATGTTTTTAATGAGAAGGAGAAACCAATGTATGCTTATGTAATATAAGTTATATAAAGGAAGAATTATTTTTTATGTGAAATAAATGTCGATTGAAGGTGTCAACAAGTGTCTTCCGACATTAAAAAAACTTGCTAAAGCCAAGACAAGAAAACAAAGAGAAAAAATTTTAAAGCAAACAAAATCTTGTACTTACTACGCAATCTCTGAAATAAGTAAAAATACTCTAAACGGAAATATACCGGTTGAAGATTTATTGAGAACAAAACTTGCTCCTTACAAATTTGAACTTCGAAAGCTTTCAAGAAAAAGTATCCCATTGAAGAAGAGAAAAGAAATTATTTTACAAAGTGGTGGAGCATTTTTACCAGCGTTACTTTGGCCAGCTATATCGTATTTAGGAGGAGAGTTGGCCAATAAATTTATGCAATGAATGTTATAAATAAGATGGTTGTGATTCCGGAAAAAGAATATCATCTTCTTAAAAGTGACGTTAAAAATTCCAATAATGTGACAGCTAATGCTGAACAGGCAAAAGTTGTGAAAATAGAAAAGGACGAAACTGATCCTGAAATTAAATTAAATGAATATAAAGAAAGCTTTAGAAAAGCGGTTCAAAAATATGAAAAGAAATTATCTAAAAGACCTAAAAAGGATAACAAAGTTGTGAAATGTCAGACACTCAATTGGACCAACGTGAAGAACTTTTGAAACGGCTTTATTATGACTTGGATAGTCACGGTAGTTTCGGAGGTGCTAAAAGACTTTATAGAGTTGCGAAGGAGCATGACCCATCGATTGAATACAATGATGTAAAACAATGGTTGATGAAGCAAGAAACGTATACAAACTTTCGGGTACGACGGAAAAACTTTCAAAGGCTAGCTGTATTGGTTGATAGAATCGATGAGCAATGGCAAGCAGATCTTATGGACATGTCCTATTGGTCAGGGCAAAACGATGGAGTCAATCATTTACTTGTTGTGATTGATATACTGAGTAGATTTGCATGGATACAACCGTGTAGAGATAAAGCAGCACCCACAATCATAAATGCTTTTTCTGAAATTTTTTCTTCAGGAAGAAAGCCTGAAAAACTACAAACGGACCAAGGACGAGAATTCAACAATAACAGGTTTAAATTTTTTTGCACGTCTCAGGGTGTACATTATTTCACGACAACTGACGCTTCAATAAAATGTGCTTTAGCTGAACGTTTAATACGAACATTACGTTCTCGTATATACCGTTTCATTTACCATAAACATACACATCGATACATTGATGACTTACAAAACATTGTTAATAATTACAACAACTCTTACCACAGAACTATTAAGACAACTCCAAACTCTGTAACACAAGATAATCAACAATCTATCGTGCAAACTATTCAGAGATCAATAAAAAATGAAGAGAATAAAAAGAAAACTTTCAATGAAAATGACTTTGTTAAAATTCCATTAAATACTGGCAATTTCGAAAAGGATGCAGTACAGAAATGGACTGATGAAGTGTTCAAAGTTTCAGGAGTTAAAGAAACGCCTCAAAAATTCATCTACAAATTGAAAGATTTACAAGGTGAAAATATATCATCAATTTTCTATCCTGAAGAATTACAAAAGGTTGATTTTGACCCTAATAAATTGCGCAGAGTTGAAAAGATAATTAGGAGAGTTTATGACAGATCACGAAGACAATATAAGTACTTAGTAAAGTGGGAAGGCTGGCCAAGAAAATTCAATAGTTGGATATCTGATATCACTCTTGCAAATGGCAACAATTAACTTTACAATTGACCTAGTGTCAAATGGGTCTACAGATATCTTTCCAGAAAATACATTATCAAAATTTCAAAATCAAATTGATCCTGCATTGGAACTTGATGGTGATTGGGAAGTTGCACTAACAGAAATTTATTTTCCCATCAAATTTGCTATTGATATATCAGAGAAAATGCAAGTTAATTTTAACATTTTGTATACAGCATTCACCTTTTATCCAAATATCGACTTGCGAGTGATATACCCTCCTGAACAAAAGTGGAGGAAATATGACACTTTGGGTGGTGATTATGAGTCATCTGTTGATATTTTTCCAGATGACTCTGTTAATGCGATAATAGATAAACTCAACACTTCAATGATGGCAAATTTGAAAAGTATCGCTCCTACACTTGTTTTCGGTTCCTATCCTAAATTTGTTTGCGAAAATGGGAAAACAATCTTCTATCCTGGTCTTCTCACTACAAAAAAAGATAAAGCTACCCCGCTTAATGTTCGTTTAAATGGTCCTGTTGATGAGATAAAAGCAAAATACAAAAAAGATTATAACATTGATTTAGAAGAGATAGGCACGCTGTCAAATGCACCGGTCCCGAAGCCTTTAAGACATTATTACAAAAACATATTTATTGATGGAATGCACACTTATAGTGCTGCAGATGGAGAAGCCACTGAGAAATACAAAGAAATTGCATCTACTGTTTTTGTTCCGCAATTTTCAGACGGGAAATTAATGGAATATTTAGGCTTCTCTCCATCAGCGGATGCTTTAATCGATAATATTGATCATTTCAAACAGGAAGTTGTAGTAACAACACCTCTTTATCATAAAAATAATGTCAATCTGATGTACGTATATACTGATATCATACGAGATCATGCGGTTGGAGGAACTAAAGCGCCTGTATTGAGAGCAGTACCACTGACGACTGGTATTTATCAAGGAATCGGTTATTGTACATTTGAGCATCGAATATATTATCCAGTGCGGAAAAACCATATCGAAAATATTGCGATTTTTTGCTTGGATGATACTGGAGAGCAGATTAAATTTGCAAACATTGGAAGAGTTTTTGTAAGCTTAGATTTTCGTAAAAAGAATTAATATAAAGAAAACAATGTATTGAAATGATGAATTGAATAAAATGATTCAAAGAAAAACTTACTGTCCTAAAGATAGTGATTTCAATGACTATTTTGCACATCAAGTCGGTTCTGGATTCGGAGACATCAGAATAGTCAGAGGTCCTAGGTACCAAAGAGGGTATGGCTTTGGTAGTTTCTTCTCACGCTTAGCTATGCCAGTCATACGGTATTTGGGTAAAGAAGCTCTGAATAAAGGAGTCAGTATCGGTAAGCGTGTAGTACAAGACCCACAAATTCAACAAGCTTTTAAAGACAGTGTTAAAGATTTAGCGAATAAAGGACTAGCTAAAATCAAGGAGAAGGTTGTGACACAAGAAGGAAGTGGACGAAAAAGATTATATAAAAGGAGACAAAAGTCTAAACCGCAAAAATCTTTACGTAAAGTGAAGAAGCACACTCTGAAAAGAGTGAGCAAAAAGAAAGGAATCAAAAAGAGGAGAGTAATAAGAAAACAACGAGATATTTTCAAATAATGGAGTATATACATGCATCTTCGTCTCCAGCCACTATTGCTGAACTTGATTTATTTCAATTTCCCCCAACACAGACTGTCATTGAAAGTATTTATGACACAGAATACAGACCAATAGGTTCGATTGCGAAAGCTAATGTATTTGAATTCATAGTGCCAGCTTCGGAACACTATACTGACCTCTCTGCAACGTATTTGTATGCAAAAATGAAGATTGACGTACCCACAGGAAAAAGTGTTACACCCACAAACAATTTTGCTGCCTCACTATTTGAGCAACTTGATGTTTATTTTGGGAGTGTAAACGTCACACCTGGAAATAGTTTATACCACTATCAGTCTTACATAGATGATATATTTTTCAAGTATAAATCACCCCTTGATGATTGTCAAATGATAAATGATACAGAATCAACAAGATCTGATAGAATCAAAGATAAAAAAGAGTTTGACATTATAATACCTATTCACGCTCCAATGTTTCAACAAGAAAAATTTTTGATTGATAATGTGCCCATCTCGTTACGATTCAAATGTGCACCGCAGACTTTTGGATTGAACAGCGCAACAGAAGTAACTCCGCTGAGTGTAGAGTTTACACAGCTTTCTCTTTTCATAAGAAGAGTTAAATTGTATGCTCCAGTACAAATGGCAATCACTTCACAATTGGAAAAGAGTCCGGCAAAGTATTACTTTCAAAGGAATGAAGTCAAATCATTTCATCTACCAAAAGACTTTGCTGCAAATAGCATTGACAATGTATACAATGGACAGTTACCACGCAAAATTATTGTTGGTTTTGTTTCTGATGATGCATTTAATGCGAAATTGACAAAAGACTCATTCAATTTCGAACATAAAAATCTGCAAAGTGCTACGATTGTAGTGAATGGAACTAAGATACCGAGTACACCTTATCAGCCAGATTTCAAAAATAAATTATTCATGAGAGAATACTTTAATGTTTTCCGCTCCATGAATCAAGATAATGGGATACCTAAAATCAATCTAAAATATCAAAATTATTCTGATAAATATCCACTTCTAGTTTTTGATTTAACCGATGATGGTACTCTCGCAAGTGATTCAGGTGTATTATCTATGATCAAGAGAGGCAATGTTCGTATGGATATTCAATTTTCTTCTGCTCTTAGTGAAGGGATGCATATGCTGGTGTTTGCTATATATGATAGCGTTCTACAAATTGATGCAGCACGTAATATTGTCACGGACTACTGATGGCTTTAACAACATTAGATATACAAAACCAACTCGTAAAATACAAAAATTTCAAAGGAGTATACGCAATTGATAAACTTCCACTTACTTTGTTTCCAAAACCTTTCGGAATCGTAATCAATCTCGATCCAAGCTGGAAATCTGGCTCACATTGGACAGCAGTATTTATACCAATATACGGCAGGGGAATTTATTTCGATTCTTATGGGCAGCAACCTCCTGAAATGATAAAAACCTATTTGGAAAGAAACTGTAAACGTTATGATTATATCTATAATGTAGATGTATTTCAAGGAGACTTGTCGATCAAATGTGGTTATTTTTGTATCTCTTTCTTGAAAAGTTGCTTTACTGGTTCTTACTTACCTTTTTTGAAATGTGAACAAAAACACAATGAAAATATAATAAACAAAATTTATTAAAATAAGATTTAAAATTAAATGTAATTAAATGAATAAATCAAAGAATGAAATTACAAAACGTTGGAAATAGTATCTGCAATATCATCAATTTCCATTTCATCCCATGCTTTAAAAACATCTTCCCATGAATCCCCCTCTATCACCGGTATAGGTTTATTGCACAGGTCCATTTTTTTCAAAGCAGGATCCTCAAATTTTATTGCCTCGGGTTTTCCCTCATTACACCATTGCTCCAACTCTTCCATATTGATTTCGGTTTCTGGCTGTTCTGATTCTTTTTTTGTTTCACCCCATTTTATGCTTTTAATCCATAATTCGATCAGCATTCTCGTCGTCAATTCGAAAACGAATGGCTTTCTAGTTGCCACCAGAGGGATTCGGCTTCTCTTTGCCTTTTTTTGATTGATTTTCATCATTCGCTGTTTCATGTTATACTTTGCCATCTGTAAAAGAAAGAAAAGAGAAACATTAATAAAATGCAAAAAAGAAAATGATTTAGGGATGTGTGGAAGAGATGGGTATAATGGACATGCAAATTATTGTAAAAGACTTTTAATTAAAATAAAAAGTTAGTAGAGATTACATTAAATAGAAAATACAAATACAGAAAAAATGTATTGGTTTAATCATGAGATAAACTTGTTTCGTGTCAAGAGATACTCCACAACAGTTTCAATCGTCTGCTCAGTAGTTAATTGCATGGGTAGTGTTTCTCCTCTCGCTTCTTTAGATAATCTGGCTTGTTCCAAGAAATAGTGCATAAAGTGCTCGTTTTTTCGTTTCTTTCTACCAAGACCGCTACTACATGGCTGTTCTTCTCTCGTCCTGTTATAAATTTGATTCTTTTTCTCATAATTTTTCCAATTTTCCAACCAAATACACACGTTTGATATTTCTCTTCTCAGCTTTGCGTGCAAGAAAATAACCTCCCTATTACCAATATCAGCAGCTACTCTTTTGAAATAAGCTTTTGTTTTTTCTGACCATCGCTCATCATGATGCAATTCCAGAAATAAACTTTTCATTTGTTTCAATTTTTGTCCTTCAATGAAAGTAAGCTGTATCCATTCCTTTGCCAAAGTCAAGAACAATTTATCAAACTCAATTTTCGTAGCTTGAATTTTGAAGAAAAGTGAAATTTCTTTGCTACTTGGAGCCATGATTTGCTGCAACATGATAAAAAACAAAAGATTTTGATTAAATTACAGAATGAAACAAAAACTGGAAGTTGCGCAGTGATTTAGGAAAGGTGGGTTTGGGTTTGATGTTAAGTTTAATAATTTAATTACCTTTTGTATATTCTTATTTTACAATTCTATAATGCCCGTATGCTAAAGTGCTAACTGCATCGTCCAAAATGTATCTCTTGTCATCAAGTGGAGAAAAAGATAGTTTATTTATCTCTACTGAAGAAATAGCATGATGTTTACTCTGTAACCTAAAGTTTTTATGCTTCAATAACACATTTTCGAAAAGACAAGCCTTATAATCCTCTATTGAAATCCCACTTTTAACAATTGCTTTTTGCACTCCCTTAGCAGTCATTTTTTTATTTGTACCATATTTGATAGCATAAAGTTTAGCTTTTATTGCAACTACTTCATCAATTATTTGCCCATTCATTTCATCTTTCAAATATCCTAGTTTCTTTTTATTTTCAATGCTGTACAAAAAGTGTGCTTGCGGATAATCAGAAAAATCCATAAGGTAATTGAATTCTTGCAAGTCATTGTATAAATCTTTTGTTTGTATTTTATAAATAAAACTGTCGGTGTCAGTGTAGATGAGAGACAATCTAGATCCATATTTAGGTTTGAAATGATCATAATGTAGTCTGTACATGTGTAACTTTGATAGTTCCAAGACTGTAAACCCTAAATAAATCGGTTTGTCGAGAATAACTTCAAACTTTCTCAACTTGATTATTGCAAGATCATTGTCTAGAATGTAAAATTGTTCAAACATTGGCTGCCTGATTTGCTGTAATGCTTGTTTTCCATTCGTAGCAATTATGACTTTACTATGTTTTCTTTTATCTTCTATGCTTTTTCCATACAATGAATTTACCATTAGTTTCCAAAAATCTTTAACGAATGATGATGTAGCTTTTTTTCTATTTTCTGTGCACATTTCAATATATGGTTTGAGCCAAGCTTCTTGCTCAAAACTAATAATGCGATGAATCTTTTTCAAAACTAGACCTTTCTCAATGTAGAAACGAAGATTTTTCTCATGCAGAACATAATTTTCTTTGTTCATCAAATTCGGAACAAGTTTCTTAGTTTTGTAACGCTTAATGCCTGCAGCTTCTAAAAAGCTCACAATTTCTTTTTGATAACCACTCAACTGTTCATATTCAACAGTTATCCTTTCAGGTGCCAAAGGATAATCATTATGAAGATCATGTAAACATGACGGATAGTCAAGATCAACCTCTAGAATGTAACCAGTTTTTCGGTCAGAATCAGAATGCAAAATTTCCTCAATTACACTTTGAAACATGTAAGGAGGAACCCATTCAAATTTTCGACAAGGCAGAACATCACTAAGAGCATATCCGTAGAGATTGTTAACGTCAAGATATGTTAAAAAAGAGCTTGGTTGATTAGGATCAAATTTCTCTGATAGTTCATTATTAGCGCATGCGTAACGGCACATTGAGCAAGATATTCCTCCTCTTATTTCCTCCTCAATCATTAAAACCATGTCAATATCAGTCAATAGATCCAACACGACACCAGTGAACTTCAAGGAGGCATCCCATGTTAGTCCCGGGGTTGAGAAATAGTGACAAGGGTCTAATCCAAACTGTTTCAAACTAGTCGCACGAAAGTTTTGAAAAATAGCAGCAAGAAGTAAAACATCAACTTTAAGATAAATATCATGAAAGTCCCCAAGATTTTTACAATTAAAATGCTCCCATATATCAAGCAATCTATCGTACGATTGTTTATCAATTGTTTTCAGTGACAGATGCGAAAAAAATTTATCAATAGATGGTAAACTTTCTTCTTCAAATCTTTCCCAAGAGTCCATGTATTCATAAGGCAGCGATCCCTTATTCAGAATATATGGTAAATCATCGTCGGAAAAGGTTTGACACAAAAATTTCTTCTTTTCTTCAGTTGATAAATTATGTGCTAATGTGTCCAAGCTAGATAGCAAAAAAGCATAACTGTCCAAGAAGATGAAATCATCCATTATTATCGCAATATACTTTTCAGTATTTTGCGGTATTACATTTATTTTATGAATTTTATCTGTTTTTAGACCTCTGATTAGTAAATGAGCATCATAACCTTTCAGATTATGAAATATGATTGGAAGCCTATGAGGTAAACGCATTTTGAGATTGCATCGATTGTGCGCAGCTCCTCGGAATTTCCCAGTCAAGTGACAATGATCGATAACTTTATCATCTTGCAGCTGCTTGTTGCAAACATAACATTGAGTCGATGCTTCAAAAACATGTCTTTCAAAATTACTCAGCTGTGCTGGTTTTTTGTGCTGTTCAAGATGGTTGCGAAGGAAATCTTTCAACGTCAAAAGTGTGTCAATAAATATTTGACTTGCATTCAAGCCGCGATAAAATTTTTGAAATAAGATTTTATCATTCCAGTCAATTGCAACTAATCCAAACGAACATGCTTCATGTTTTTGATATTCAAACGTATTTTTAGTTAAAGCTTTGTTAGTTTTTACCAACAGAGCTTCAAAATCAGCATAGACAATATAAGGATAACTAATCGTTTTTTGTATCTGTCTAAATTTACATTTAGTTGGAATGTTTTCCTGACCAGGGAGAACGACACTTTGTGCAGTTTTATTGTAACAGACAAGTTCATGTTTAGATAGCGCTGTTTGATTTCTAAAACCTGAACAGCAATTATAACAGAAATAACGCTCCCAGGATCGACTGCTTTTGATGAATGCATTGAAATTTGTAATGCAATAATAATGTTCGTTGAATAAGAAAAGATTTGCATGCTTCAACTGACGTTCCTTAGCAACCATTAGCGGAACAACTTTCTTTTTTTCATCAGGTGTTAATGTATAAACATTCACAGAAACATTATTTCGTTTAGTAAAGCGTTTAACCTGTGAAAGCGTTGTCATACCATCTACTTGACTAAAGTCATATTGCTTTTCAAAAACTTTGTAATGCCCTATTCTTTCTTTATTCATTTTTTGAGGGTGTAAAGCCATAAGGATAGACCATTTGAAACAATCTTTTCTACATTTTGGAGATAATAAACTTTTCTTTTTGTTGAAATCAGATGGTAATTTTGTTGAATCACAGCCTCCACTATGTTCTTTCAGTTTTCCAACACGAATCTCAAGAACCTTCACACTCTGAAGCACCCATCCACTTCCACGTTGTGTGAATTGATCGATAGCCAACTCAATCTGTTCAATCCAGTTTTTAACAATAGTTTCAATATGATGCAGGTTTGTTAGGCTTAACATCTCAGCAACTTTATAAATTTCTGTTGTATCCGTTCCTCCTTCGGTTTTCTGTTTGATAAATTTAAGTAGAAGACATGCTTGCACTTTTACAGATCCAATTCTTTCAATGATATATTTAAGCAAAGATTGGATATTTTCCTTTTCAACAGCTAGTAGATGTTCAATTGATTTCCAACCATCAGCTTTTATGTACACAGCTAAAGCATTTCTATAGCTTCTTTTATGCAATTTGAATGTTGCAAAATCTCCAATATCCTCACTCTGTTTTTGTCTACATTGATTAAGATGATTTAAGAAAGTTAACGAAGAAAAGCTACTTTTACATTTTTTACAGACAACTTTTTTACACTTTGTTTTATGCAGAAGAAAAGATTTGTATTTCAAGAAACTTTGCTTACATGTTGAGCACGAAAACATTCTGAATAATGAAACTAAAGTCAAATGTTTTTGCTTTAAATAAGTTTGAAACAGAATTTTTGGGAGAGCTCTCTTTTTATTAAATTTTTACCCAAATGAATGACAACCAAAATAAAAGATAATAAAGGTATAGATTAAGTGGAAATAAGTAATAAGTTTTTTCATAATAATTGAATAATACTTGTCAAGTGTAACTTAAAATACTGCATAGGTCAATCATAAATAGATTGACACATTGCTGCAGCAATACCATCAACAACAGAATGAGAGTTCAGTTTAATAATCTCCTCGTCTGTTAGAACAAGTTTTGATTCTTTCGACTCAGTTTTCAATTCCAGCGCAAAGGATTTCCCATCAGCAGCTACTTCACCAAGCAGAGTGCGTCCAGGAAAAATGGAAAACTGGAAACCATTATCAGTCTGCTTCAAATAATGATAAAATCTCTCTTTAAGCTTCTCATACTCCTTATACTTGAGAAACAACCCGTACCGTGTTGGAATGTAGATTTTTTTACCTTGCCACTGTCCTTCCTTCTTACGACGAATGTCAACAAACGTTGTTCCTTGTGCAGACCGTGATTTGTGAACAGTAACCCACAAGGTTTGACTGATCTCAACATTGAGTAGTTGCTCAAATTCTTCGGTGAATTTTTTACGGTGTCCAGGTTTTTTAAGACTGTTTGAAACTTGTTGAGAGGCATTGGAACTTTCGTCGTTGGAACTCATGATAAAACCTTAACTGTTGAATGAGAAGAAACTGAATGAAGAAAAAATGAAGTGCTGCTGAACTTTTATACTTAAATCCCAGTCGATCCGAAGCCACTCCTACCACGCTCACCAACATTGATTAACTGCTCCACTTCAACCAAATCAGGAACTTCTGCTCTCTCGACAATCATTTGCGCTATACGCATCCCTTTTGTGATTGTGAAATCCTCATCAGACCAATTATGAAGTATTACCCTTATTTCCCCTGTATAATCAGGGTCAATAACACCACCGTGAACAACAATTCCTTTCGAAGCGAGACCTGAACGTGAGGCTAGTCTAACATAACAACCAGCAGGAGGTTGAACCTTGATTCCTGTTTTCACAATAGTTATTTTTCTTGATGGTAGAACCAAATTTTCATAGGACTGTAAATCATATCCAACTGAGTCGATTGTGCCTCTAGATGGAGTAGAGACATCTGGGTAACACTTACTGTAGAACATACTCATTTTGAATGATAACTTTTATGAAAATCTCGTCTTTTTATGCTAAATTAGTCAGCAAAATTTTCTAAAATCGGAAGGTATGTCCACGTGAATACCTCCGCCCTACAAAGAGTTATTAGAGCGAGTTCATCATAAGCATTTATCGCAACAACACTATTACCAAAGTTGTGTAATATGATGATGAATTCATCATCGAAGGTATTTTTAATCACTGGAGCGATAACAAAAACACTACGGTTCAACAAATTGGGACTTGCAGAGCACTGTACGAATGTACTTTGAGGAGGTTTCAATCTGATTCCTGTTTTAATTATAGCTGATTCGTTTGGAGATAATTTAACGTCAGCGGTGGAATAAATAATATATCCTAATTTATCTTTTGCTTGTGCAATTATTGAAGGAGTTGAAGAACACTTACAGTATATAAACGACATTAGTTGCAAGTGTTTTTTTGCAAGTGTTCACTTAAAAACTTATGCTCACCATTAAATACTCAGCCCGACCAATTCAGGGCGTAAGTCACGGATCAAGTAATTCACTAAGTCAATGATCACGTGATCATCTGAAAGGTGGGCATATGTGATAAGGTGACACTTTAATTCATTTAAACTTTCATACTCGAGTGAGTTTTGGTCTAAATGCATCACGAAATAATCTGAAACGTAACCTGACCTTTGTGACTCAGTTTGAAGCAAGTAACCAGATTGACAACTTCAATGTTCTCTTGCAAGAATCTCATTATAAATAAAATTTTTAATCAATAAGTCTAAATACCGCTGCTACGAAAGAACGGCACATAGGACAAGTAGCGACACCTGGCTTCATTTTTAGCATGAAAAGGAACAGTTCGTTATATACTCATAAGCAAGGGGAAAGAATGAAAATGACAATGACCTTTTTGACCTTGAAAAATGAAAAGATAATTTAAAGTTGATAATTTATTATCAAAGAAGTATACCTCTATCTATTACTGTTTTCAAGTTATAAACCTAAAAAAATCAAGTTTAGCATAGTAAAATTTGTCGCAAAGGTATAATTTTTGAACGATAAGTGATATAAAAAATTAATGAATATAAAAGTTGTGTATTTTAATGAGACAAATCGAATGCAGTTTTTTGCGACAGAATCGGTTGAGGAATAAAGAAGTTATGGGAAATGCGAAAAGTCTATGGTAAAATGTCAATTTTCACATAGAAGGAGTGGTTTTTTCGCAGTTTTGTCAATGGCCAACTTATTCAGACCGAAGGTCTGAGAAAGTTGGTCTACCCAAAATAGGCCAAAATAGTCAGAAATACTTTTTACAGAAGTCATTTATCTTTGTCCATTGAGTTTCTATGCTTTTTTATTCACTTTGTTCATGTTTCAAATGCATGATAATTTTGAGTTGATAATTTATTATCAAAGAAGTATGAGTCTATCTATTACTGTTTTCAAGTTATAAACCTAAGACAAATCAAGGTTAGCATATAAAATTTGTCGCAAAGGTATAATTTTTGAACGATAAGTGATATAAAAAATTAATGAATATAAAAGTTGTGTATTTTAATGAGACAAATCGAATGCAGTTTTTTGCGACAAAATCGGTCGAGGAATAAAAAAGTTATGGGAAATTTAAAAAGTCTATGGTAAAATGTCAATTTTCACATAGAAGGAGTGGTTTTTTCGCCGTTTTGTCAATGGCCAACTTATTCAGACCGAAGGTCTGAGAAAGTTGGCCTACCCAAAATAGGCCGAAATAGTCAGAAATACTTTTTACAGAAGTCATTTATCTTTGTCCATTGAGTTTCTATGCTTTTTTATTCACTTTGTTCATGTTTCAAATGCATATACTAATTGCAAACAATTAACCGCAAACTTGATAATTGTTTCATAAAGTTCAAAAATAGTTCCGCATTAATTACCATGGGCATTGAACTTAATCAATAATTTAATGGTCAGTTTTATTAATTAAATATCGATTAAAAGTGAGTTATCTTGTGTATGAGTTATCTTGTGTATCTGTACTACTACTAAGCTTTAATGTGAAATAAGCAAGTAATGAAGGCAGCTTCGCGATTTTGTGATCTGTGTTTTCACATTCACCATTTTCACTCGGAAAAATTCATTTGCGTTTAAGGTGATTCACGATGTAAAAGCTAATCGATCGTTTCTTTTTGAACAGTTTTCTTCAGATTAACTTTTGAGTTTCATGTCTATCCATTTGATTTATCAACTGTAGCACATGTAAAACAGATATTTATGTCAAGTAAATTGTTTAGTATTTTTTTATATTTTTCATTCAGAAAATTTCGAATCAAATATTTAAAATTTCAAGTTACCTGTTTTTTTATTCTGACTCTCTTTCTCTCTTTAATGATTGACTTGAGTTGATTGTTTGACTGGATACAATCAAATCTATAATAGTTAACCAAAGTTGATTGTTAATCAAATACATACATTATCTTGTATTTCATTTTTACCTTTCTTCCTTTTCCTCCTCCCTTCACTTTTATTTGTTTGCATTAAATGTTAATACTTTTTATTTCATTTTTTTATTATTTATTATTTATTAATCATTAATCATTTTACGTATTTTTTGCTTTCCTTTTTCCTCTTATCATCGATAACCTTAGGTTGGCGGAACATTAATTTCAGATAAAGTTTCTATGACTTCAACTGCTTCAATGAATCCGGCAACAGCCGAAAATGCATTCCTTAATAAGGCAAAATGGCTGGAAATGTATGGAGTTGACATGCACACAGTTTTAGGCAAAGACGGCAATGAATATTTTCTTGGTCTAACACCAACCGGAATCCTGGTTTTTGCCGGTACCTCAAAGATTGGTCTCTTTTTCTGGCCCAAAATAATTAAACTTGACTTTAAGGGAACCAAATTAACACTGGTTGTGGTTGAAGATGATGAATCTGGCCGTGAACAGGAGCATACATTTGTTTTCCGAATGCCTACAGTTAAATCATGTAAACATCTGTGGAAATGTTGTGTTGAACATCACGCTTTCTTCCGTCTTAAATCGAGCCAAACAGGGGCACCAGTTAAACAGAAGCAAGGTTTCATGAGAATGGGAAGTCGCTTTCGTTTCTCTGGTCGAACTGAATTTCAAACTACCCTGCAAGGAGCAATAGTCAAGGAACCTGAGCGAAGGTTTGAAAGAAGACCCTCTCAACGGTATACTAGTCGACGAAGGGTAACTAATCATTCAACAAGAACAACATCGACAACACCGATAACAACCAACAATGATACCGGTAATTTTAGTCGAAGTGTAACAATTAAACGTAATTCTGGTCAAAGTGAGGTTAAATCATCACTATCTTCATCACTTTCTTCATCAGCTGCTGTTGTACCTTCATTATCAACAACAGAATCTTCATCAACCTCGGTTTCATCGACTCTTACCGCATCTACTGTACCTATTGATACAAAAATGAATGGTAAAAAGGTTAAAAGTAAAGAGGAGATTGGCTCATCGATTGGAGCCACTTTTGAGGAAGGTGATGTTAAATTTGGTGTTAATGGTTTAACAAGTCATTCGTCAACCTCACTTCTTTCAACATCGTCAGTTTCCTCAGTCTCTGTATCCAGTCCGTCTAGCAAGTTCAAATCATCATCTAAAAAATTACCCGGTGCAACCTCACAATCAAATAAATCATCAGCTGAATGCATTTCAATTGTTAATGGTACCAATAAAACACTGTCTTCTACATCAAATGAAGAAGATGTTGTTACTGTTGATAGTATCAAAGATAAAACTGGTTCAATAACAAATGTGCCAAAAGACAGTAAAAAAGCAAAATTGCCGAAAGAAAGTGACCCAAAACATTCTACACTGACAAATTTACCCACAAGAACAAAATCATCCCTGTCATCATCTTCATCTGCATCAACTTCATCGTCATCTCCTCTTCCACCCTCATCAACAACAGTTTGTGATACATGTCAATCAACTAATGATAGCGAATTAAATCAATCACCAGCTCCTGATAATAATCAATCTCATATTGAGAATGATACAAATTTTACAGAAAATGTTGGTAGCAAAAAGACTAATAATGCTAATAACATTACTAATCAAAGTAAAATTACACTTGGTAAATATGATGAAAAGGGCAAAGCAATGGTTGATGCTTGTAATAATATAGATGTAAATGAAGGCGATCCAACGACAGATATATTAACTGAAACATCATTTGCAACCTCAACACCAGTCACCAAATCAATCAAGATACCAAAATCATCGTCACTCAATGCAACCGATGAAGAATCCATTTCAAAGAAGGAGAAACGCAAAAATTATAATCCTCCAAGACGATCAAATACAACTGTATCAAGCAGAAATACAATCACTACGGAGCTTTAGAATCAACATCTAATGTAAACTCTAATTAATTTAAAAGATTACTGTTTCTACGGGCATTTCCATATTAATAAAATAATTTTCAAATTCAGTTTTCTTTTCTTCTAGTCTATTTTCAGGGTAAAGCTAATACTTTTTGGTAAATTCATTTTTCACTTTAAATTGTTTTCCAAGTTATTGCCAATTTTCAAGCAATCATACCAGAAAGCTGTTTACAACCGTTTCGGATTGAATTATGAAAATATCATTAACATATTAGGTTTGGCTTTATTGTAAAGTACCCAATAAATTGTTAAAATTTTGATTATCCAAGCCAATCAAATGTAATAACAGCTTTTTCCTCGCCCATACTTTTGATAAATATGGTTCCATTGGAATTTTAACACTTAAATAACCACTCTAATCATATTAAGAGTTTATATTGTTTCTTAATTTTCCCTTCAGCTTTTATCATTGTATTTTTGTTCATCTTATTGGAGCATTTCAACCTTTCAGGACAAAAGACGTCGATAAAATACAAGTATCCAATAAACGCAATTAAATGTTAAAAATAGAATAGGAAATAAAATCTTCATCATATTATCCATATTGTCAGCCTGATTGAAGAGTGTTTCATCTTTAACTGAATACAAAATGAAGGAAAATTGCTGTATGACGGTTCTTTGTCGAGATAAAGGAGCCTTCGTCCTCGTTGAAGCATTATGGTTTAAACGTTTATCAGATTTTTTGGATTGCTCTTTCTTAATCTCATCTCGTTCAGTTACATAGCAGCAGTAGGACATTACACAAATGGTAGAGAAATCAAAAATAAGTGTGCCCAACATCCAAATGTCACTTGCCTGAATAATGGAGGAAAACGTCGCAATTAAATTCATCCAGAGAACACTTATGGATTTGGCTATTACTATTACTTACATTGATGTATGAGACAGGAGGAAGTTGACCCTTGACGCCACTGTAAAGGGTAATCAAGGCAAAGAAAGGTGTTGCAGTGAATAAGAATCGATTGGGTCCATTTTCAACCGATATAAAAAAGGAGAAATAAGCTGAAGCCACAATCAAAATGGATGGGATAACTGCCTGATATATGAAATAAGTTATCTTCCGTTTAAAAATCAATCGAATGGTTAACCAAGTTCGATCTTCTGTTTTGTGACAAAGATCAAAAATGGGTTTAAAAGATGCATTAGACAATAATCATTGGATTTTACTCATTCTCTTCATTTCTTTGTATTACTGATGTTATTAATAGATGTACTTACTGTCATCAAAAGCAACACTCTGATACTCTTCTGTTGTAAAAGAAATTTCATAATGATTTTGATCGATATTTTGTAAACTGTAGTCCAAACCAGGCGAGTCCCATTGAAATTTGAGTACTTTGTCTGACCAAAAATCTGTAAAACATGAGTTGGAAGAAGCCAATCAGTTTATGGTCAAAGGGATTTTTTGAAACTTACATCCAGTAAAAGTGAGTGAACAATTTTGAATATCATTTGGGTATTCTCTGAAATCCATTTTACAAGCAACTTTTGTAAACAACCGGCGGGTAAACTTGATTGAACAACCTGGTTGATCTGTTTCATTGTAAATGGTTACAAATCCTTCATTATTTGTAGATCTAGTATTCAAAGTTGATTTAACCTCCATCAAGTAAGTCTGAGGTAGCCATAGCCGAGAAAGCACCATTGCATCAGTGATTGATTCACTTCCATCTTGTAAAAGCACATCAGAAGAGCCAACAAAACTTCTATGGATATCCTTGTATTGTTTACAAATTGAATCATTCAATCTCCAGCGTTGAAACAGTAAAAAATCAAGTTCAAACTCTGATTGGAACAAATTTAAAGATGATAATGAATTCACCGACACTTGATTGTAAATTATTAATGGATTCCGACTTGATTCATCTATAAAAATGATAAAAATAACAACATTTCGAGGTAAGGCAATCAATGTTATTGAAGATAATAGCGAGAGAACGAAATATAAACACAAACCTTTCGTGATAGACAACTCGGAATTCAATGAAGCTGATGTTATTGATGAACTGTCAAATAGACAAATTAACACTGTGACCAGATTCAATAGGTTGACCATTTCAAATGTTGAAGCTCATTATTATGATCACTATTCAGATGAGCCAATCATTGTAAAAGTAAAATGCTAATACTTAAAGCATAGTTTAAGGTGACATCTGATACCTTAACAATGATAACCGTAATTAACCATTGATGCTTACTTTGAACAATAAATTTCTCGTGAGCCTGTAATTTTAGTTATCAAAGTTTGTTTAATTGTGTCTCCATAAAGATGATTAAGAAGCAAAAACCTTGATACAAAAAATCTCCAAGATTGAGAGGCACTCGTCTTATTGGTTTGAAATTAATAAATTAATAACAGTTGAATATATTTGAGAAAAGGTTGAATTTAGATTTGAAAATCAAATTGAATTGATTTCCATTTGTTTCTAAATCATTTTTTACCATTCACTTTAGGCCTTTGGTGATCAATACAAAATTTAAATGTTGTTTGTTAAATTATTGCTTGAAGATGCTGTTATTTACATTGTTGGTAATCTTTAGCGCCGGAAACCGAAACTCAAGTTTAATTGACTGATTATGATTTATAACTTACGTGTGAGATATTATTGTTTACTCTGGGAATCGTCTCATTTAAATTATAAACATTCCGTTTGATCGTGATCATTGTAGCAATCAATTTCAGTCCTGTGTATTCCGATAGCCTAAGAAAACAGGTGGAAATAATTGAAGATGTACTTGAGCCAGTTTATTCAACCATGAAACATTGAACTTCTGTACCTTCAATCCAATGGCTGATGGAAAGATATATTTGACTTGTAATAGTTAATTGTGACTAAGAAAATGACTGATTGTACATTATAATTGTGAATCATCAACAAGTCTAAATTTTCATTCCAAATATCAAACCCACAATGCATATTTATTCATATCTCTTACTAATTGTGGTAATTCAGATTCTCGTGTTTAACATTTATCTTTATTTTTCTAATTAGGTGATATAGAAGAGTTAATGACATAAATTACAGAGCTACATCAATTTATTTGATAATGTTGTACCGCCTATTAGAGGGACTTTTTAAAATTAACCTATTAAAAGTAATTAACCAGTCTCGTTATACGAACGTGCTTCTGATTTCAGTTTGGCTTTTTTCCATGATTAGCTCAATCAAGGAATTTATTTGAGTTACAAAATTTTTTTAATATCTCTATAAATTTATGGAAAAATTTATTCATTTCTTTAATTTATTTTATAGATTTGCACAAGTTTTGATTGAGTTTACAAGATTAAATGTAATATTTTGCTCTTCCCTGGTAGATTTTGAATATGGCGCCTCGAAAATTGGTGAGCCAGTTGTGCTTATTTTAAGCGGCTTTATGTTTACAGAACATTGTTTGGTTTTGTTTTTTTCATTTTATGCATCTGATTGTCATGATTAACTGATTTTCCATAGTTTATTAATTCTTATTTATTTGATATGTTTGAATAATGAACCGTAAAGTTTCAAAGGAAGGTAAAAAATTGTTAAGCAACACCATCCAATCCGTTGAATATGGTAACAGAATGAAGGAGGAGAAAGATATGTGGGATCGACATTTAGAATCAAAAAAGAGTAGCCATCGTCATCGCCCGTACAGCAATTCAAAATCCCGTAAATCACATCATCACAGTGACAGATATCATCATTCGAGTCGTCATCATTCTAGAAGTCATTCACATGATCGTAGGAAAGATGATGAAAGGAGAAAGACCAAGGAAAGACCTGAGTCAACTGGAGAATCAGCTTATTACTCAAAGAAATCAACTGAATCGGTGCCATCTGATGTAAATAGAAGAAGCCATGCTGAAAAGGAACCAGAGGATAAAAAGAAAAAGATTTATGTTCTAGATGTTGAAATGAGTGACGATGAAGAGAGAAGTGAACGAGATGATCAAAGTCGCACTGCTTCTCATCCTAGTAATGATGCAACAACTGATGAAGGTGTTGATGATATTGTCAGTCCATCAAGAACAAGTGAAGAAGAAGATAACGAATCAATTAAAGGTACCGAAGACGACGCTGATTCTTCAAGTAACGAGTCTAAAGATGAAATTAAATCTACACCAGAACCAAGCGAGGAAAGTTTCCAAAAAGAAGTAGACATTAGTAAAGAAGAGGAAGAAGTAAAAGAACCAAAAGAAGAATTACCTCCTTATTACCCAGCTATTCAGGGCTGTCGTAGTGTCGATGAATTTGAGCGTCTTAACAAAATTGAAGAGGGAACTTACGGTGTTGTATACCGAGCAGAAGAGAAACGAACTGGAGCCATCGTTGCTCTCAAAAGAGTTAAAATGGAAAAAGAGAAAGAAGGTTTTCCAATCACTTCCCTTAGAGAAATCAGTACTTTGTTGAAAGCTCAGCACCCAAATATCGTTGCTGTCAAAGAAATTGTTGTTGGAAGCAATATCGACAGTATATTTATCGTTATGGAATACGTTGAACATGACCTGAAAAGTCTAATGTCAACAATGAAGCGACATTTTACTTTAGGTGAGGTTAAAACACTTATGTTACAATTGTTAAGTGCTGTTGCACATTTACATGATAATTGGATTTTACACAGAGATTTGAAAACTTCTAATCTTTTATTTAGCCACAAAGGAATTTTAAAGGTATTTTTCAACTTGTTTCCCAACTGAACTGCATTATTAATCATTGTTTTTTATTTATTTTCTCGAATAGGTTGGTGATTTTGGTTTAGCTCGTGAATATGGATCTCCTCTCAAGCCATATACACCCATTGTTGTTACTCTCTGGTATCGATCTCCGGAATTACTTTTAAAGACTAAAGAATATTCTTGTCCCATTGACTTATGGTCGGTTGGGTGTATTTTTGGGGAACTCTTAACTATGAAGCCATTATTCCAAGGCAGCACTGACATAGATCAACTTAACATCATATTTGAATGTTTGGGAACACCGAATGAAAAAATTTGGCCCGGATACTCGGAATTGCCTTTACTATCAAAAGTCTCATTTCAAGAATATCCTTATAATAATTTAGTTAAAAAGAAGTTATCAAAAGTAAATCTGAGTTCAAAAGGCCTCGATTTAATCAACCGATTTTTAGCGTACTGTCCCGAAAGGCGTATTACTGCCGAAGAAGCGTTAAAACATGAATTTTTCACCGAAGCACCTAAACCAATTGATCCTTCAATGTTTCCAACATGGCCTGCAAAAAGTGAACAAGGTCTGAATAAAACACAAAAGTCTAAAAGTCCAAAACCACCTTCAGGAGGTAAACTTTTTTCAAAACAGTTGGCAGCTGATGACGATGAAAAGTTCGTTGGGGCATCAACATCAACTTCAGGATTCCACATGAACGTATCTTCGTCCAGTAAACCATCAAGCATTGGTTTCAGCTTGAAATATTAAAATAATTAATCATTAGAATAATTGTGTAATTTAATGAAATGCAAATGTATGTATTTTTCAATTTGTAATAACTCTGCTCTTTACCAATTGACTTTCTTAAAAGCTAAAGTGTCTTGGAATTAGATAAACTAAATCCGAATGTAAATTATTGTTCCGAATGTTTAATTATTGATTATTCAATCATGTCATACGTGTAAATTTAACTCAAGAATAGAGGCACAACTATTATGTTTTATTTTCAAAGAGCTAATCAAAATTGATTATTGACAATAATTGACTCAATTAGCTCAAATAAAATTTCACTCATTCATGCTGTACATCAAAAGTATCACAATTTAATTAACTAATTTATAAGTTATAAAGGATCAATGTAATTAATTCATGCAAAAACAAACCAGGGTAAAAACAGGATTAATTATGACGGTCGAATGTTGGTTGATGAAAAGATAACCGTTTGTGTTTCAGAATCTAGGTGAGTATTTGATTTGCAAATGAATGGAAACAATTATTTTCCTATTATTAAGGTCAGTTAAGCACAATCATTGTCTGATGCAACAAAAGGGATAAAATTTTGAGACCAGAACTTACAATTGATCTATAGATAAAAGATAACATGATTAGCTAATTGGAATCAGTAAACATAACAAAATCATTATTTTTAGGTGTTAATGTTTAAAATTACCTTGAACACCAACTAATTTTTAAGGTCTAATTGTATATCTCTTGTCATATGTCAAATTATACAAACATTGATTGAGTAAATAATTTGAAGGAAAAAAATAAATTGATCACAGACAAACAATTATAAATTTACTTCCTTCTTCCATGTTACCTCGTTTCCTAATTCAGTTTTTACATTAAATTAAAGTTAGCAGATTGTAAATCTAAACAATCCCTGGTAATTTATGTTCAATTCCTGTGAATTTAACCAATTCCATACATAATCCCATTAGTCAAACACATAAATCAGTCTTTTTGATGATCTTGTTAATTTTGCTCTACTTTAAATAATCAGTGAAATGCAATAATTGAAGTAAAGTTTCATTGAAATCATTAATTGTTTTTCTGACCAACAATCGAATCCTTTCAGTTTTAATTGTCAACCTTTGTTAATCAAATGGATTGGATGTTAATTGTCAATAATCGTCTGTTAAATGTGAATCACAAGCGTTTGAAGAAAAAATTCACCAAAAGTGAATATTAATGTCCACCAATGGTTCACAAACAATGGAAGAAGCCGATTGTCGAATTTGTCTTCAACCAGATAACTTGAGGAATCTGATTATTCCATGTGAATGTAAAGGAAGCCAAAAGTATGCCCACAAAATTTGCCTCAAACAATGGATGGATATCAAACATTCGGATCGGTGCAGCGTATGTAAGGAACCATATTCGGGTGTCTTCTTCCATCGTAAACCAGATCACTTTTTCCACTATTTAATTGACAATGAAGGCGCTCTAATTGGAATTGTTATCGGCTCTTGTTTATTCATCTTTTTCTCGTATTTGCTGTTGCTTGGATTCCTTCAGTATTTCACCTCATTTAACCAAGTTTCCCAGGGTTTGAGAGGGATCCTCATTTTTTGGACCTCATTTTATAGCATATTTTTTGGTCTCATCTTGATTGGTGCTTTAATTGCTCTCCGAAATGGTTATCATGCTTGGTCTTCAACGCATTTTGTTATGGAGGTCATTCAAGATGATGACAGTTCTCCGCAAATACCTAACATCTCTACAGCTAAAGCTTGAGACAATTTAAAAAACGAGAAACTTTTATTTTTGTAATTTAGCTTTTTTTTTGTCTTTCACTCGCTTCATGCTTGTAATTAACAAAATTATAATTGATTAGAAGTAAAAAAATTTTGATTCAAGTGAGTAATTGAGAAAAATTTATTAATTGCTCAGTAGATCACAATTTATTGTTTTTTTTGTGGTTATCTAATAATAGAAAGAAAAACAAAGCTCAAAATGTTGATTTGTTTTTTTGTTTAACAAAGGACAGGCTAGATTTGTAACACAATTACTCATTAAATTGAGCAGATTTTCATTTGGATTAGCGCCATCTTAGAAATAAATTCATTTAAAATGAGTAACTACAGTGATTTATGGATGGATAATCAACTGATAAAATCAACTCTCAAAAACATTTTCTTTTATTTTCCTTTTTTTTGATTAGGCACTGAAAAATCACCTTCTAGATAATTTGATTTTGTGGTGGGGAGGGAGTGAAAGTGCTTGAAAGAAGATAGAAAGGGAAGGGAAAGATTCACAGTATTGCCGATGAGCAAATGTGATTGAGAAAGTGTAAATAAATTGATTTCGTCCTTTTCCAGTTTAAACAATTGATCAGTAAAGGCATCATCACCAATATCATTTTTACATAATCTTTAAGATTCTATCAGGTGACATTTCATCATTGATGAAAGTAGGTAAAATTAAAAATAAAAAATATTGCTCAGGAGATATAAAAGACAAAAAAGAATTGAGAAGAAGAAAGTGAGATACTAAGCAGAGAGGGAAAAATAGAGAGAGAGAGATAGAGAAATATTTTTGCGTGCATGATAATACAATCTTCTCATTAAAATTAAAAAAATACCTCCAATGCATTTACATATTCTCAAATTGGTCAACTCGTCTTTTGGTATTGCCTTTGCGAATTTCTCTAAGAGTTTTGTATTTGTCGCGACCTTGCCTTACGTTCTCTTGGTGAAGGATATCATTTTTACTAACTTTCGTGTCATCTTTAGCTGCAGCCAGATCTTTGCTTAGCATCTAAAAGGTGGGTAGAAAGAGAAACATTTAGTAAAATGAAAGATGATGGGGAAAAGAAAGAAATAGAAACAAAGAGAAGAGCGTTTAAAATTTATAATAGTAAGAGGTAAATAGAAAAGAGCAAGTAAAGAAAAAGAATAAGATGAATAATTGTTTTTCACGAAACTAACCTTCAATTGCTCTTGTAAATCTTTTTTCTTCGAGACTGCTGTCTCTCTTTCCTCTTCAGGATGAACATCGTCTCCACCCATTTGAATTTCAAGATCAGCACCTAGAAACAAGTAACAAGAAAAAGTGAGGGAGTAGAAAAAAAAGAGAATAGGAATAAAGAATTATTAGTTTCATTGCATGTTTATTTTTAAGTTGATTAAGATAAGATTGCTTACCGATTTCACCGTTAGGAAGCTCATCATTTTCTTCATTATCATCCTCTCTGAGGTTAAGGTGTTGAGGTGTGGTTGATGCAGCGATAATGGCAGCAGTGGCCTCTTCTTGAACGCGCCGGGCAGCTTCAACTTCCTCTTGTAATCTTCTAGTTTCAGCATCTTTTTGTTGAACTTCAGTTTGCATTCTTTGGACTTCTTCTTGTTTAGTTCTGATTGCATCTTCTAACCTAGTTCTCTCTTCATGTTCCATTTCTTTGGATTGTTCTAATTGTTTCATCATTTCTTCCAGTTCATTTTGTTTCTTTTCAAGTTCTTCTTTAGCACTTTGCATCAATTTCAATTGTTCTTCCAATTTTTTAATAGTCTCTTGAGCCTCCATTAGTTCTTTCTGTCTCTTTTCCATTTCTTCTTGCATCCTTTGTAATCTTTCGGCATACTCTTGTTGCTTCTTTTCGGCAGCTTCTCGAAGTTCAATTTCTTTCTTCAACTTTTCTCTTTCTTGTTGCCTAGTTGCTTTCTCTTCTTTAGCTTGAGCTTTCATTTGTTGAATTTCAATTGAATCAGGCTTTCGTCTTCTCATATAGAGCTCGTGATTACCCATACAAAGGGCAAGGATTCGCTTATTTATACGCAAACGAGGAGCAATGAATACAAAGTCAGGCGCCTTTTTATCTATGGGTTTGATGGTGAATCGTTTGTCATTGAAAGATATGTTTCGTATTTCACACCAGGGAAAACCAATTTTAGGAGTTAGTTTATCTTCTTTCTCATAAATATTTAAACCGAGTGCATCAACGCCCAGCCACAGGTCTGTTCCTTTTTTGTTTTTTATTTCAAAATAATTGACTCCGTACATTTCCAGATCTTGAGCTATCTTCAAGTATTCCATCATAGCATCTTCTCTTGGCATTCCTTTATGTTCTGCCCACCAACTGGTTATTCTTTCTTCCCATTGTTCCCTGGTTAACTTGTGTTGATCCATTACACGTTGAGGCAAAAGTCGTTCATTTGATAACGAAACGGGTGGCATATTATCTGGATTATAGTCACCGAATTTGGCTTGCACAGCATATGAGGCAAGAAGAACAGAGGTTTCAGGTGGACAGTAAATTTCATCACAAAGTATTGCATTTTTTACTTGCAGGTAGAAAAGTTTCTGTTTATATAAAAAAAGAAAAATAAATAGATCATTAGTAAATAGGAACGAAACAAACCGCAACTACAAATATCAAAGTCAATCATTGCCAGGCATCGATGAACAACCATGATGATTAGATGAAAACTCGGATCAAGTTAAATTGGCCAAGGTAGCAAAGGAGACTAAATAGTGATGAATGATGAAACCTGAAAGAAGTAGATAATTTATTGATATACTTCCTTTTAGATCGATTGATTCGTCTCTTCAAAGTCTCTCAATGACAAGGAAATTAAGATTTGCAAAATTTTGATTTCTAATCATTTCTAATGGAAATGGTAATAAAAGTTTTACAGTACAAGAGATACTCAAAACAAAATGCACATTTGCATGCAAATGGTGTGAAAGGATAAAATAAAAATTGTAATCAATTAATTCTCTATTGACTTTTGATTAAAAATGAAATTGAGATCAAATATTTTTCATTTGAAATAGGATATAAGCTGATTACTATGATTTTCAAAGAGAAATTGGAAAGATAGAAACTAGAATCAATAGATTTTTGCTCTTTCATTTGATGCAAATGTTCTCCTCCCTTTTTAAATGTTTCTCCTACATTTTCAGTTATATATTTTTTTCTCTCCTGTCTATTAGTCTGTCTGTCTCTCACATTTCCAGACAAACACAAACACATTGCTCTCTAACATTTTTTAGCAACTCTTGATAAGGAAAATGATAGACAAAAAATGATACGATAGTGAAAAGAAGGTGATCTCAAATATCATAGATAATCAATGCTGGAGGTTAAAGAGGATAGACAAACTGAAACATTTTCAGAGAACAAAAAAAAGGTTCAATAATTATTCTGGTTTGAGTTGTATGAGAATTATTGCCTAATAGCTATTCTCCTGAATTTCACTTGTTCAATTTCTCTTCATCTTGCTCTTTCACTCTTTTTCATCAAATTTTCTCTTCCTCCTTGATTATCACAGTCAAACCTCAAAAAAACCGATAGCTTAGTCATTCATCATCATGTGATTGAATTGAGCTGCGCTGTGTTGTATGTTTGATGATCTTCATTATCGTTAAATTAATCTTTTAAGTTTGTTGTGATTGCTGCTACTCTCAGAAAAGTATTGTGGCGTTAAGTTGATGATGAAGATTTAAAGTGGTGAAAGTTATTGATGAATAATCGATGGTGGCAATGATGACAGTGACAATGGTTAAAGTTATGTATTGGTGCGAGTTGGAAAGAGAATAAAATTTAGCATCAACCAACCAGGGTGATATCTTGAATGATCTCCTCTGATACTTCCTCGGGAAAAAATTTGGCACGGAATTTAAACTGCAAAGGACTTTCTTTCTTTACATCTTGACTCAATACTTTTTTGTTCAACTTCAACCATGTTGTGTAACCTTAACCTTTACTATCAACATATTGTAAGGCAAAGAACCAAACTTCACGTAAACCGATTGTTTTGACAACCTGTCCAAGAGGAAGAAAGAGTGAGAGGGAAAGGAGAGAAAGAGACAGAGGGATGGAGAAGAAACAGAGAAAGGAGAAAGAGAAAAGAGAAAAGAGAGAAGAAAAAAAATAGGAAGAAAGAGAAAGGAAACGAGAAAAAACAAAAGAAGAGAAAGAAAGGAGAGAAAAAAGGGAAAAACAGTCAATTAATTAATCTGTACTTACAGTAATGATAATGTATTCATAAATCCATAAATGTGTATTACAATACTTTCAACAGTCATTTTTCAATGAAAACTATACTTTTCATGTAAAAAAGACTGAAGACACACACATACACACACGAAAATTTGATAACATTAATATTTTTGGCAATAAATAATAAACGCATGCCGATGGGTGAGGTTTAAATTTGATTAAATCAAGTAACATACTTGGTCATAAAGTTGTTTACCAGTTGTATTGGGCTGAATGGTGAATTCCAATTCAGCGTCCATAGTGGTAACGCGTACACTTATTGGTTTAGGCATTTTTGATTGGATGGCTGGTTAATCACACATAAATTTGATTGGAATAGTAATTAAAATAAAAAAAAGGAAAGAAATGAAGAGAAAAAAACAAAAATTTTGAATTAACTGAATAAAATCGGAATGCAAATATAAGTCGGTTTCAACTAAAATGACACTGGAAAGAGTGAGACTAGTTGATGAAGAGGCCAATATGGCAGACAGGTTACATTTGCGCAATAACTTTTTGACTGCAGCGTCCTCTATTAGATGTCACAAAAGTACCTGAGTTTTAACGATATTCAAATCTATTTATTGATTAGTGACAATTAAAGACTGTTGAACCAATTAACATTAATTAGAGGGAAATGATTTCACTCTCATTCTTGCAGTCCAACAAGAAATTGGTTTAATCAAGTCGTTTCCACAAACTTATTAAGTACTTCTTTGAATATGTTTTTTAGCGCGAGAAGCAACGGAAAAAATGCCCCCAATGACCATTTTTCAAGTTTGTTGATTTCACTTTTATTTTATTGTGATTATGTGGATGGTAAACATCAAAGGTTAGTAGTTAATGGACTTACAATGATATCATCAACATCTCACCTTAATTGGATTTATTGTCTGTTTTATCTGAATGAGCCTTGAAGAAGAAAATGATGACTGTTACCTTTACCTTACTGTTGTATCGATAGCCTTACTCACCAACTTCAACATCAACAAGGTTATAGTTAACCATTTTTTTTAATTCATTTGTTTCTCTTCTTTTTATTAAACATATTATATCATGTTAATAACTATCATGCATGTATAATTTAATCTTCATCTTCTTCTGTAAATCATTCAAATACATTAATGACAATAATGATAATGATTACCATTAACCATAAAATATACTTTCGTCTTTTTTTACAATAAATAGATAAACAGCTGTTCAATTATAATGTTCAATCAGTGATTTTTTTCTGTTTTTTTTATTTCTTCGTATTCACAGGCAAGAACCAGAAAGGCTCCTAGTCAACATGGAATCAACGTATTCATCTAAATTGTAGGATGGTTAATTGATTTGAATGAAATGTTGAATTTTCGCTAATAAAACGTCGTTGAATTACATCACAAATTACGCAAATTACCTACAAAGCAAGAAGTCATCATATGGATTTGGCCTTAACAAATGACGAATAAAAGATGCTGATTAATTTGATTACAAATCGGTATTACAGTGACACGCACAAAGCTTGTTACTGTAGCACAAAATGTTCATTTTGGTTTCCAAAATTGATTTCAAAATCAATGAATCAACAACTTCCATTAGTCTTCATCTCAAATCATAGTCATACTCATAAATAGGTTATCATGATTTAAAGATAAGGCGCAAATCATTGACAGCAACACTTTCTTCAATAAATCTGCAATCACAATAAACTCTGTGATAATTAATATAATCAAGTGCAATGAAAAAACCAGAAAATAACCAACTACCAGATTATTTAAACATGCAGAAAGGTTGAACCGTCCAAGTTGACTTGTTAACCAAAATATGATGAACCAGTAAACCAAAATGATTAATATGAATCAAATTAAACCAACTAGAATCGTGTTATTTCAACATTGCCGGTGATTTATGTTTATCGACGCAAATTTATAACCAACATGGTGAAAGCCAGGGAACCAACTATTAAAATATGAAAGAGAAGCTGAACATTTAAAGCTAAATTCAACACTAATTGATTTTAATGTATTATTTAAACGGAAGGTCAAACAAAGCAAAATGACATTAGATAATTTAGATTTATATGACAATTTAAAAAGGCAAGTTGAACAGCAATTAGACTCACGTTTAAACTCTCATCAAAACAAAATGCATTAATCATCAGCAACTTAAACTTGAAGTGCTAATTAACCAATAATCTTACAATACTCGATACAATAATAAGCTCATCAAATCTACTTTTTTTTACCTGAAATTATTTCTCCAGTCAAAGTCAATATTGGGTTACAACTAAAGATGGAAACTGCCGGTAAAAAAATATTTAAACTTGTAACCATATCATAGCCATTATGATGACAATTGATAGTAATCAAAACTTCCTGTAACACATTTCAACAAATGTTTTTGTTTACAAGCACAAATGTAATTAACATTGATCAGAGCAATTATTTCCTCGATAGAGATTACAGATTTCAGTTTGGGTTAACATTAACCAGAGTCATTTCTAGGTGAGAGGTGACGACCAAAATAATCTCTAGCCATTTAGGCAACACAAGACGTTAATGAACAAAAACAATAGGCACTAAAAGTCATTAAATGCGTCTAAAAACACCCAATAAAAGACAAAAATAAATCTCTCTGGCGGGGAATCGAACCCCGGTCTCTCACGTGACAGGCGAGGATACTAACCACTATACTACCAGAGATGATCACATGAAGGAAATGTATTTTGTTAGATTATATAGTTAATTAGTGAATTTGAAGATTATCACTTCTTTTTGTATGGAATGGATCAAAGGCCTATTTTGATTTTTGATTTTTCTCGCCATTAATTTATTAACTTGAACTTGTTACACTGGAATATTGAATGCGATGAAATACTCCATATTGATTTACATGGCGTAAAACCTGATATTTTAATGTGAAGGTTATTTCGTCTCAAGCAGTTTTTGCCTAAGAGTGAAATTGTCTAAAATATAGCAATAAGCAAAGGAGTTGACTGTATTTTTATTAATTTTTTTTCAGCTTTGTACAAATACTTGACTATAGTTGTGAGGTGATTTTTTTCCAGTATTACCTCGAAAGAGGAAAATTCAGTTGATTGTAAATTTGATTACTTATTATTTTCTAAATTAGTTTTTTCTATGATAAATTTCTCGATTTTTAAGCTCCAATGTTGATTCAGTTGATTTAAGATGGTTGTGAAAAGTGAATTTGAATGATTATTAATAAGATATTTTCATAACATTGCCTTCAATAGCTAGCTTTTCACCATTGTTGATTGTCAATTAAATTGAGGTAGTTGTTTCTTTGTTATTTACCTCTTATTGTTGTTTTATTTTTGGGCTAATTATCCGTGGTATCTGTTAATTAAAGGGTGTTGCGGTTAATAAGGTCCAAGCAATCACTTACGTTAATAAAGATTGTTGAAGACGCCGAAACAAAAACAATACAATAATAATGAAATACACAATATTTTATCATCATATGAACTTTATCGTCTTCATGCTCATCTTTATCTCTTTTTCAACCTTTAGGTGAATGATTGCTTGACCCCAAGATCCTTTAGTACAGCAATTTTTGTTTCTGTGTTCATTTGATTTTTACACCATGAGCTGGAAATCCGTTTCGAATGGATATTCATCAATTGGAACAATTTAAATGGTTTTCCAGATTTATTTCCCTATTTAAATTTATCTGTTTTATGAGTTAACTTTTGATTGTTTATTTTCTCATCTAAATTGATTGATTTGACTTGATTTTTGAACTTGAATAGACTTGAATTGGTTTAGTTTGTCTTGCCGGGTGAAAGTTGTCATTTCCCTTAGAGCTGTGAGTATTTCATCTTAATTATGAAAGTGTTGAATATGATTGCTGTTGATGTTTACTGCGTTTGATAAGACAATTTGTTTCTTGTTTTGCTTTAGGTAACGATGAAATGATGACCATGTTAATGGAAAAGTATCTTTCTGGAAGTGAAGGTTTCTTTTTCTACAGACTTCAAGACAATAAATTTGCTGTTCATTCGATTATTTCTTGTTAAGATTTCCTTTCCTTTCTTGTTGACTTTCTCCTTCCATGATATTCTTGCCGAGAATTTCGATAATTTTCCTTTTCTAAATTGAAAATTTGATTCAATTGTAGTTTACTGACAATGCTAAAAGGGAAGAGAAGAAATCAAAAATAGAAAAGTTTGAAACGGAAATGAGAGAGTTAGACGATAGAGTTGTTGGTTGAGATGAGAGGCCTGAGAATGAGGTTAATAGTAATTGTTGAAGATAATAAACCATGATCATGATTGGAAACCAGTCTTTGGATTCATTCTGACCTTGAAAACAATGCAACGAATTGATAAATTGACTTTTTTTCAGTCAAACCAAGTCTCTATATAAAAAAACAAATAAATATAAAAATTATAACAAATAAAGGCAAAATAAAACGGTATAAATGCGATTAGCGTAGTTACCATTATTGTTTTGCTGTTATGTTTTGGATCATCTTTTCATTAATTTTTCGCTTCTCGGGGAAACAAAGTGTGAAGCAATTAAGTCCCGATCAAATATATGATTGGCAATGAGCTTGAGATGATGTTCCTGAACAACTGAAGGTTTAAATTTGAAATTTAGCTGTAGAAAAAAATGATAAGCGGAAAGAAAAAGTTATCAATTTTTAGAGCTATTTGTTTAGCTGTTTAGTTGGCTTACCTTCTGCTCTTTACATCTAATCAGGTAAATCATTTTGGAAGAATCAGTACAATAGTTAACTAAACTCTATTATAATCAACTGGTCCAACGAAAAAAAATGGAAAGCTGGAAAAGGAAAGAGAGACAAAAATAGATTAATTGTTTGTATCAAATATTTCAGAGGTTATTTGAGTTGATCTAGTAAACTAATAGCAATACCTTGTAAACATCTCAACTTGTTGGGTTTGTATTCCTAACACATATGAAGCTTGATAATTGAATAACTATTTGTTCCAGATGAAATCAAATGAATCAGTTCATTAATTTTTCAATTGTTCCATTAAAATTAACATTGTTCTTCTCTCCAGTCAACATTTCAGCTATTAAGAGTAATTTGCACTTGACGGACGTTATTACCAAAAAACACAAGATATTACATCTCAATTGTGTTGGATTTTTTGTTTGATTTCTTGGTGACTTTCTTCAGTATTTTATAATTACATTGTATATTGACAAGGAGATAATTTAACATCTCTCATGCAATATTTAATTATCGTTATAATTAACTGTGAGAGGTAAATACTCCGATAATAGAAATCTTTCTCCATTATCAAGGCGTCTTCAGTAATGTTGAAAATATATGTGTTGGTTGACTGTGAGACTGAATAAAAGTCAAGAAAAAGATAGCGACAGGTAGTAATAACTGTAACTGAGGAATAAAATGACAGGTTCAATATCCATTTTAATCCCTCTAAGACTGGGTTATTCATAGGTTTTCGATAATTGTCATTAGGCCAGCGTGCAATCAGGGAATAAGATGATAACCTTGAAGTAAAACTTCCTTATCGGCCATGAAACCCGTTACTTCGAAGAATGAAGAGAAACTTTGCCCTTCAAAGCTTAATGAAGATGAATCTAAATGTCTTCACTTTTTCTTCAGCTTGCATTTTTCCATTCACGCTACCAATAAAACGGTTATCTTTACATGTTGATACTTGAATGTTACCTTTGGGGATGTTAGTTATAAGGGTGTGTCCCGTTAAAACTTCCGGTATGACTGAAAGAGAAGAAAGTGAGAACAGAAATATAGTTAATGAATGATTGAGAAGGATCAGATTGACAAAACAGGACAATAATCGCTGTTTGCATCATTGAAAAATGATGAAGCCAAAATGTAGCGTCAATCAATATAAAAAAGTAGGTTTAAGAGTGAGTTAGAAGTGAAAGAGAAGAAGAAGACAAACCTAACTGTTGTGGAAAAAAAGAAAGCCTCTTTCTTTAACCTTTCTCAAACGTATTACTAGATATTATACAGTTGATTGGTTAAATAATAACAGGTTAAACGGTAAATCAGACCTTAATAGAAGGTTAAAAATGTCTTCTATATTCAATATTGTTTCAGTTTCTTTGCTTGAGTTAAAGGTTAAGCCAGAAAAGGTTCCATCTTTTGTTTTTCCTTATTTTCCTACAATCTTGTACTACTTCTTCTGAATCAAAGTAGTGGTGAGATACAGTTGTGATGATGGTAGCAGTGGTTTTGGTAGTGGTGGTGATGATGACGACGACGACGATGTTGTTGTTGTTGATGATGATGATGATGATGATGGATAAACAAAAAAAGTAAAGATCAGATATATTGAATAAGGTTCTCTTTCAAGGTAATTGTGTATTGTTGTGTATCCCGAAAACAGTTTTTCCCAATCATCATGGTAGTCATCTAGTGAATCAAGAGGAAAGAGGGAGAAAAAGAGAGGAGGAAAGAAAAAAAAGAAACAGTAAAGAAAGTCTCGCTTCGTACTGTGTCTACCACACGCAAATGGAACACACATTCAGTTTTCAAATGATTATACCTCATTGTCTGGTTACTTGGTTTACCTGAACAAATGAACCGTGATCAGCAACGTTACCCTCTCAGTTGTTGAAAAAAATGAAAGCAGCCATAACCAAAAACAAGAAAATTAAAACATTAAAACCAAACAATTTTAACTTTGAATCATCGAAACGGTTAACCGTTAAAAAACTTAAAATTGAGCTTACTATTGACATCTGGTGGATAGTAATTAAACTCATGATATTGTTTACTTTTTTACTCTTATTCATCAATCTTTTTATAAATGTTTCAAAATTAATTAAAAATCTTTAAAATGTATCATTTTCTTTAGAATCCTTATTTTTCCGGTTTCCAAAATATTACTTCAACCGATCATTTACTAGTTGTTTCTCGTTGTTCTGATAAATTGTTTTTGAATCATGATCTAAATATAATCTGGTCTTTATCCATCAAAAAGTGATTTGAATATTTCTCAAGCCAATTGCTGTTATATTTTAAAAAACCTTTGGAAATCAAATTCGTCCCAATTTAATCACTTCTGTTTTCAATTACAATTTCATATTGGAAAAGTGGCCGCTTCTGTATGTATGTAATTAGGCATCAAATCGTAGCTATACTTGATATTCAATTGTTAACACTTGTTATACTTCAAAAGCTAACCCGATTAGGTTACTAGGAGAAAGCAATTTAACGTTGTTGGACGATAAGTGGATGGAATTTGTGTTTATTTATCGAGAAGTCACAGTTAAAAGTCAACACACAAAGGGTCCTCCTTGAAACCATCCACAACCGAAAGATAGGGTACTTTTTTCCACATCACACATCGATTCACACCATTCCACACCAAACAGTAGAAACATAGAAAATGAAAACATTAAATAATTAAACAATGATAAAAATAGAATAATTTACGCATTATCTAGCGGGCAAGTTTAATAACTCATTTTGACCAGTCCAAAGTTCTCACTAAATCATTGAGTCGGTACTAGTGACGAACGGTGTGGATTGATGTGGACTCAAGTAGGACCCACATTCAAACAAGTATTTTACTGTTTCTATAGAGATGATGGACAGTTAACTGATAAAATTTATCTATCTTTCAGGCAAATTCAACAATTTATGCTGAAAATTGGATACAGGATGGGATCAAAGTATTGTATAAAAACAATTGCCATCAAATGGTAAAATAAACCAATGACCCAAACATACAGTTTACATTGCTAATCATAAAACAAAGTAGGGAAAAGGTGAAAACGTAAATATTGATTTCAAGCGAGAAAGGAGCAAAAAAAGGAAAAGTGGAAACAATTAGCTAATAAAGTTGTCAAAATTTAGCCTGAAAAAAGGATGTAAACTATCAAAAAAGTGAACAATCTATATAAAGACATAATTGACATTCAGCAATTTTAATTTATGTAAGAAAAGACCTAAATCAAGGCGATTCATTGAGGAATCAAGAAATGCGAAAGTAAACAATAGGAAAATTTTCCCCAATTTGGGTAACAATAAGACCAATAAGATGATCAAAGTAAGTGATATTCACCCATCATTGTGGACAATTTTTACCTTCCAATTATCTACCATCAATTGACTTTCTCTTTTTTTCTGTTAATATCTTTCAACAGATGGATCAGGATTATGCAGTCAAAAATTCATGCTCAGTGGGCATTCATCATGCTGAAATATTTTCTGGTCCAATGAGAAGCAGGAAGAAAAGGCCGATTCAAATGGAAATTTAAATTCAAGAAAAAAGCCAAAAAAAAGGAAAATGATTTCAAATGAAAGTTGCTCTGAAAAGTGGAGGCAAAACCAACAACAGGCAAATGATGATGGCGCTGATGATGATTAAGATGAAGATGAAAAAGAAGGAGCCAGCAAAGGAAGAGAAAGAAGGAGGAAAAATGAGTGGCCTGATGATGTTAACCCCGTAACAAACTGGCCGATTATCACGACCCGTTATTCTGGTTGTGATGTTAATATGTTGGATGAATATTTTGTTAGCCACCATTTAACCCGGCAAACGATTTCTTAAACCCCTTTTACCTTCCCATTCACTTTGCCCTTTACTCTATATATTATTCCATTCCCACTAAGCCTGGTGTGTAAAACTGCATGTTATCATCATTTCTCATCCTCATCAACTTGTTCATTCAACAATTTCATCTTACCATCAACTCATCTTGATCATTCCAATTCGACCGATCCTTTTTCAAGAAAAACATTTACATTCAAACCATTCAAGGGCATTTTATCTGCATCATTCCAGTTAACTTTCAACTCAACCATTCCGTTTAATTCACTCAAGCTCTGGATTTAATTTGCCTCTGGGTTTATCATCTTCCACTTGCCGCAAAGCCATCTTACTAACCTGAAGAGCTAAAAGCATATTAAATGTATCAACATCATCTGCCTCATCAACAAGAGTAACAAATTTCATCAGTGCTTTCAATTGACCTTAAAACTGTTATTTTTTAATATTAACTTATTTTTGTGTTCAAATTATTTCGCCATTTCGTTCATTAACCCACTCTGGCCATTATTTTATAACCACAATTTACTGACAACACAATTAGACATGTTGTACAATTGCCTTAACATTGGATTATCATCAGCTTTACCCTAAACCAAAATTAAATGGAATCTCATGGAAAGTGTGGATTGAATCAAATCAATTCTGTAAAGACAAATGAGATAAATTGTGATTTGTTTTGGAATTGAAATCTTTAAAGTTGATTATTGTAAATCTTTTTTTTAATGCTTTTTTATGAGTTTTTTGCCTTTAATAGTTTGTGTCTGTTGATGTTAATGGTTAACTTGGTTAGCATTGTGATCAATTCACGATCAACCTAAAAAAGCAATTGTGATTACTCCATAATTGACAAAATTCGTGAAAATACAGTTCCTCAATTTGTCCATATCAACATCATTAGATGATCATTCATAGTCACCTCTAACCATCATCTTATCATCTCTCTTCATCTCCATCCATCTCAATAATTCACCATTTAATTGTTATTTAAAATAAGATATCAAAATGTTTGCCAAAGCAAGTGTTGCCCTTTTCCCAGCTCTTATCCCACTCTTATCATTCTGGATTGCCAGGAGAAGTGACCAAGTATTCCGAGTAACTCGAGACTCATGGGAGAAGGAATATGATTATATAATTGGTGAGTAAATCACATTAATCAACAATTTACATGACTTTGAAATCGATTCTCAATTCTCTGTAATTTTTTCAATAATTGAAAGTTAGAGGCTTTGAGGCTTCAAGTGTTTGTTTGTGCCTTTTTAACGTTGATTGTAGTCCATTGTTTTTTTTCATTTGATGGTCAATCAACTTGATTCAGATGATTATTTTGTTGATCTAGAAATAAATACTGAATTGAGAAAGAAAAAGTGATTAAATTTGACAGTTGATCCATGATTAGTAGTGTTGTTTCAATTGCTCCTTTATTTTAACCAAAAGACAAACAAACAATCAGTCTTTGATTTACTCATTGGTTGACTTAATATTCACACACAATCAAATGTCCACTATTTTGATTGGCATGTGATTCATAACATTTGTTATTTTTACCACAATTTTAACTGATTAAGGTTCAATCAGGTCAACCTTTTTCCGTTTCACTTAATCTATTGCACTTGAACTGTGAAAATATTAATAACAATCAAACCCAGCAAACAAAAGGTAAAAGTGATTAATGAATCAAACAAATTAAACCCCCAAAAAATAACCAACAATGTCAAATCAAATCAAAAATAAACCACCAAAAAACTAACAGTTGGTCAAGCATCTAAATTGTATCTAAATAGCTTCTAAATAGCTTCCAATCAAAATTTTCAATTCAATCCTTTTAATAACACTCAATGTACTTTTCACAGTCCATCAAATTGACCAAACACAGCAAATTGAAATCAACTCTTCCAATAACTAATGCTTTGTTGATTAGTCAATGTTTACAGTTGATCAATTGTTTATTTTTGATTCATTGATATGTATATTGATTCGGAAAGATCAACAGTTAAAAGCAAATCAAGTGAAGATTCAACTGAATCTCAACAGGCGATCAATATTGAATTCAATTGTGAGGTTTATTTGGTTCGGATATGCTTTTTCATATTATCATATTGAATACATTATTCAATATTTAGCAACAATCAACATCAGCGGAGGTCCAAATCAATTGATTATTAGCTATATTTACCCAAATCTAATTTTCAACATTTACTAAAATCTTTACAATTGTAATAAAGCTTCCTTAAATCATTGTGAAAGTAAACAGTCTTTGATGATTAAAATTTTTATGCTCATTTCAATTTGTAAACAATAGCTTTGATAATCAACTTTCACTTTTTTCTGATATTTGATTGTTGACATTCAATTCGGAACTCTTTTAGTTGATTGTTGTATTAATTGCCATTCTCATAACGATCTATTTCATTAAAATATTGTTAACAATGTTAGACTTCAATTGTTCAATCAATTCTCACCTTTTAAATCGCAATTTATATTATTGTATTGCTATTACTCTTCAATTGTTACGTTTATTGATCTATTCTGATCTTTATTCAACTCGTTTAAACATTTCTTCTGGTTTTATTATTCAATGAAAAGTATTTCAAATCAAACAAATGTATAACAATCTGTAAATTGCTATTTTTAATCACAAATCTTTTTTCCCTTTTAAATCTATGATTAGCCTTGTTTTAATCATAAATATCTTATTAAATTACTACAAATATCGTCTTCAGTCACTTGATATGTTATTTTTATTTACTCTAATCCTTATTGTTGTCTTGATTAAATATTAAATATTAATTGTTCTATTCACACTTGCGGAATTAATTTTTGATTTAATATATGACTCTTATTATCAAGTTTAACGGAAAATTATTCTCAACAAGTTCTTTTAAGCTATTTTGTTCTGCAATTTAAATCAACAATTTTATATAAATTGTTGCTTTTGAGTATCAAAAACCGGACCAAAGTCAAATGTTTATGTAATTTTTATGCAAAGATCATTATCAGATTACTTTTACTGGTAATTAAGGATCAGATACTAAAAAGATATTTAGCTTTGAATTAAACTTAAGATCATAAGATAATCTCAAATTTATTAACCGGTTGCTTTAATTTTTTAATTGTATTACATTCTGTTTTTAAATTCTTGTTAATGACACCAAGAAAATGTTTACCAGCGAAAGTACATCTAAAATTTTATTCTGTGGTGTAAGTCGCAACATGTGATTGTGAAGCGCGCCTTTTGTTTCTTTGTCCAGCAAGTGTCTAATAATTTTCTTATGATTTTTGTTTTGCTTATTAGTTGGCGCTGGATCAGCTGGATCAGTGCTGGCAAATCGTCTTTCAGAGGATCCGAGAGTTAAGGTGTTGCTTCTCGAAGCTGGTGGGAGTGAAAACATAATCAGTGATATACCAATTGCTTACCAGATGCTTCAACATACACCTATGGATTGGAGCTACTTAACAGAGCCTCAAGAGTCTTCTTGCTTCGGCCTTAAAGATAAGAGAAGTCGTTGGCCTCGAGGTCGAGTATTAGGTGGTTCAAGTGTAATTAATGTAATGCTGTATGTTCGTGGTAACCGACTTGATTACGAGCAATGGGTTAGGAATGGCGCAGTAGGCTGGAGCTGGGAAGAAGTATTTCCATATTTTCTTAAAGCCGAAGACAATAGAGATGCAAATATAGCTTACAATGGTAATTTCGTGTTCAACAGATTGTAATTGTTGAAATTTTTAACCAACCACTAATTTATATTGTCTTATTGTCGTTGTTATATTTAGATTGTTACATTGTTATAGCTAACATTTGAAGTGAGTTTTTAATGATGATATCCTACAGCCTCGACCATTGCCTGTCTTGATGATCGGAACTTAAATTGCTAGAAGCAGTTATTACTCAATTATTTTACCTTGATTTAGTTTGCCCTTTTCAATTGGTTCATAATCAGTTATGTTGTAATAATGGTCATGAAAGTAAAACAAAAAGCGTAAAATAGTATTATAACTGTTTTATGTTGTTTTACATTTTTTTGTTGATTGAATGATTCTCTTTTAATCTCTCATTCACTAATGATGAGCCTTTTCATCATTATGATGTAAGTTAACATTCCAAATGTATATATTGAGGTCAAATCAATTTAATTTGATTTCACTAATCAGTCTAAAATCTAAGGTCAATATCCAATCATCAAGTTAATATAATATTTATATCAAAAATCCATTTCACCTTTTCACTCAAGTCAACACGTTTATTGAGTGTTATAATACATTTATAATTATAACTTACACTTGAACTTTCTCAAAATATTTAATTAATCAACCATTCAATCTAACCTAACAATCTTGACAACCGCTTGTTTTATTAACATCTTTTGTTATTTTAAACTCATTGTATACACAATTTGATTACTAATTTTTATTGCTTAATTTCAGGTTATCATGGCCGAGGTGGACCATTGACAGTTCAATCAAGTCCATATCTAAGTCCATTAGGCGCTGCTTGGCCCGCAGCTGGACACATTTTGGGTTACAAGTTTGTCGATGTTAACGGACCTTCCCAAACAGGTAAAGCCGTTAGTGGATCATGAAAACCAAGTTTCAGATTATTAATCCAACCACAGAAGAGTTCATTGTGAGACTAATCATCATTAGCTTGAAAAAGACCAGCAAAAATATTAGGTTGCTAATGTAGGCCTAAGTTCGGATGGATAGAGCGACCGAATCAGGGAAATACAGCACAAAGTCTTTATTTCTGGAAAAAAGAAAAGAATCAAAAATTGGAATTTTCGAGCTGAAAACTGAACCATTAATTGAAGTTCAGGGTTTGTTGAACAAATCATTGTAATCACTTCGTATGTGAATCAAAGCTTAACTTTGGATCAGCAGTTTATTCCTATATCTTCTTTCCAATTAGATTTTCAGAGTTTGAAATGAAATTGACTTGACATTTTGATCTAAGGTTGAAGGGTGAACAATCAATGTTATCATTTTTTAATGAAATTTCAAGCTAATCGTATAATCTTGATTAAGTTGTTGGATTATAATTTTATGGATTCAACCTTTTCATTTTTTCAACAGTTGATTGAACTTGAAATTATAATCACGCTTAAGAAATGACTTTCTGTCGGTTATTAAATCAATTCAATGGTCACTGATTAATCACAATCATACTTACTATTTACTTAATGAACCAGTGAAAAAGAGATTAACTTTCCTATCAAAATTGATTTTATGTGCAATTTAAAATTTTACAGTTATTATTAGTTTTACCTTTTAATTGTTACCATTGAATCTTTCAATTTGATAGAAATGTTTGCTTCTATTAGTAACTACATTGAATTTAGATCAAAAGCTATTAATAAATTTAGAACCAATTGTTCAAATGAAAATGCTCATCAGATCCAATAAAACATAATCAATTTGATATAACTATTAGTCCAAATGACAACAAAAATAGTGATTCAATTTGTTACTAGATTTTCAATTTTCAGTGAAAGCTGTACTTTAAAATAGCTAAATCAATTTAGTTATTGCAACTCAAACAATCAAGTAATTGTCTCGATCAAACTGACGAAAAACAATTTGAAAGTTGATTGAAAATACATTTGAATCTAAATGGTCAACAATGAGCTTTATTCAACTTTCAATTTAGATACAGAAAAGTGAAATTTTTCAATTAACTTTTGAGTCAACTCAATCAGAATCAAACTGATTTTGGTTTAATCATAGATTCAAATGACTAAATTGAATCTGCAAGCTGAGCAAAAATAAATTCAATTTATCGCAACTTGAATTTATAAATTGAAATTTTTCATTTAAAATGTGAGATTTAATAAAAGCTCATGTCAATCAAATGAAAGCAATAAACATCAACAACCAAAATAATAACCATCAAAATGATCATATATTTACAATGCTTAATTAGCATCAAAAATGATATAACAAACAAATATATCAACACTAATATTGATTGTAATTGCTATTATTAAATGTTATAAATCAATTTCATTTCAATCACCAAATCCATTATAAATTCAGCTTTTTTCACATTTGATTTGATTACAATTGAATAAGACATCAAAAACGTGTTAAAATTAGTATAATCAGTGATACAATAATACAACCATCATATACTTTGATTTGGTTCATATTTTCTTGTTCAATCAATACAATTAACATTGCAGTTTTGGGCTTATTTTAAATCTTTATTATTGGATATCAAAAATGACCCCAAAAAATGTAATAAATTATCATTTAGCTTCTAATTATTACATCTTCAAGTCCATCAATCAGTTGGTAACAAATTCAGTTCCTCTTATTGTTATTATTATTGACCAATCAACAGCATTTTGATACAAAATATCAAACTCAATTGTGATGATTGAAAAAGTAACAATCAAATTGAAAGTAAAATGTAATTTTCACTGAACTTTTATTTTTTCAGTTTAGATCTTGTTTTTAAATGTAAATTGGTTCTTCAGAGCAATTGATTGACAAAATTAGTTTTAGTGTTTAAGTAAACAGAAGAACATGTTTAACTGATTGTTATTTTTATAATTTAACCATAAATTGAATGTTTAATTCTTTTGTTGATCAATGATAGGCAATTGTTGTTCATGATATAAAATTTGTGTTGCCGATAAGTTAACAATCGGTAAATTATTGACATAAATGTACATTTTATGGTTCAATTGTGAATATTGGTTAACGATTAACCTTTGATGAGAAGCTCTTCATACTTAAATTGAAATAACTACACTACTATTGTAATGCTGAATTTGAATGTAACAAAAGCTGGAAGCTAATTGTGATTGTATTCCTGTACAGATTAGAGACTATTTTTATGATAATCTTAAATTTCATTAGACTCAATAAATAACATGAGGGTGAATGGATTATCAATTGTAATAGACAATTTAACTTCAATCATTGAAATTTCCTTTGATCATTGAATCAAAATTGTATCATCAAAAAAGCTTTCATTGTCAAGCGATGACTTATATCATATTGAAATTTAAGTATCTTGGTTTTCATCAACATTGTTAAACTTACTTAAATTGCTTATATTTAATTGTATTTATATTTTATGCTTTTTTCAAAGGTTTTACAATACCTCAAGGCACCATAAGGAGAGGCGCTCGATGTAGTACCGCTAAGGCCTATTTACTTCCTGCCAAAAATCGTCCAAATCTCCATGTGATTGCATTTGCTTATGTTACAAGAGTGAGAATCTAAACTTGCAACTAGATGGTTCCAATCAACAGTTGTCTAATTTAAGTTTTGATTTTTTTCAGATAATTTTCAATGAAATTAAACGAGCAGTTGCTGTCCAATTTGATCGATTTTCACTCTCCTATTTGGTTTACGCTCGACGAGAAATAATCGTTTCTGGTGGATCAATTAACTCACCTCAATTGTTGATGATCTCTGGAATTGGTCCAGCTCAACATCTGAAAGATCACGGAGTATGTAATAACAAAGTTACTATTTTAACTAACCAATTATTTCCTCAATTTACCAGCTTCAATAGCTGTTAGATATTAATAGGTTCAATTTTCGATTCTATTATGATTGATGTTTCAAATTAACTAACTGTTGTTTCCCTGTATCATTCATTTAGATACCAATAATTGCAGACTTACCTGTTGGTGAGAATCTTCAAGATCATATTTATCCTGGTGGAATGACTTTCTCTATTAACGCTAAAGTCAGCTTATCTCAAGATCGCGTTTTCAATGCAGCCAATTTGGGAAAATATTTTACTAAAGGAACAGGCCCATTAACATCACTTGGTGGGGTTGAGGGATTAGCTTTCATAAAGACTGGACGTGCTAATCAATCTATTGATTGGCCTGACATTGAGATGCACTTTGTTACTGGAAATGTTGTTGCCGATGGTGGCAAAGGTTTAATTGGATTGACAGGATTAAGTCCAGATATTTGGAATCGAGTGTTCCTTCCATATTCACCATTAGATACTTTCACAATTGACCCAGTCTTATTGAGGCCCAAAAGTCGTGGATATATTCGTCTAAGATCGGCCAATCCCTATGATCATCCAATCATTGATCCAAAATATTTGTCCGATCCTGATGATGTTTTAACAATTGTTGAAGCCATGAAGATAGCTTTAGCCATCGGTTTATCGCCACCAATGAAAGCTTTTGGTGCTAAGTTGATTGAAACTGTTTTCCCTGGTTGTGAGTATTACGTTTACCTGTCCGATGAATATTTAGCTTGTGTGGCTCGAGTTTTTACCTCAACAATCTATCATCCAGTCGGAACATGTAAAATGGGTTCACCCTGGGATCCAACAGCCGTTGTTGATTCAGAGTTGAAAGTAATGGGTGGTGTAACTGGTTTAAGAGTCATCGATGCCTCAGTTATGCCAACAATTATCTCTGGAAATACAAATGCTCCAACAATTATGATTGCCGAACGAGGAGCCGATTTAATTAAAGGACAATTGTTACCTCCCTTACCGAGTCCAATTATACCTCAATATCCGATTTTGGGTCGCTAATTGATTACTACTATTTTCCTAATTTAATTTTATTTTAATCTGCTTACCAAATTGGATTAGAAGCGTAAATGCCAACATTTTTAGTGTTGAACACTGAAAATTGAATCATCTTCATAATCACTGTCATCCACATCTTCATCATCATCTTCACTCGTTTTTTGTTTAATCGCCTCCATTAAGATGCAATCTAATTGTTCTTTGAATTGTTTTGGTCTTTTGTTTTATTCACTTTTTCTTGTTTTCCTTTGGTTGACTTTTGATTACCATTATTTTATTGCTGTTTTGTTTTGAAATGTGCGTTTTTACCTGGTGCCATTTAAAGTACAATTATGACCTGATTTCATAAAGATTAACGCTTTTTTTACTCTTTATTTTAGCTTTTAGTATTTAAAACATTAAAAGATTTAACTAGTCAGTGACAAAGTTTTAAGCAAAGGGAATTCAGGTTGACCCATGTTTACAATTAGATTGCATATTTGTTCATTTGTTTAGGGTCCAGAATGTGTTAACATCATTATAGTATGAGATTAAAAAATAATCATTTTGTTTGACAAGTTAATTTGATGACATAAATAATCTTATACTGTAAACAACTGAATAAACATTTGAACATTATTGAATAATATTTTTCCAATTGTTTCAAACAAATTCATTTATAAATATCATAAATTAACATCTTTCTATGATTAACAAGTCCAGTCTGGTATCATTCAAATGAGAGAATGTCCAAAATATCTAGAGTTTGACTATTGTTGTGATACTGTCAATAAAGTACAAAACCATTCGTGACGTGAATGTGAAAAGTCGCTTAATTAGTCTTCTCTTTCGATGTAGAATCAAAAGAGTCTTCATCTGTAGATTGATTCTCTAATGATTTAATATTGTTGTCAGGTAGTTCAGGTATTCCATTGTGACGGTAAATTGCAAGTAAATGAAGGAATGGAAACTCGAAAATCATGGCTGAAAAAATGCTTAGCGCAAAAGATGCAAACAAAGTAGCAATTATCAAAATAGCCTGCAAAATAAGTGAAAAAATATTTAAATCAGATGAATCAGCAATCAATTAGCTTAGTTGGTTATATCTTACATATGAAAGTGTATCAGCATAAACTGGAGATCGGTAATAACCAAGAATGTAATAGATGATGAAAATATGCCAGTAGAACGCTTGGTAAGCCAATTTAGCGAAAATTCTGAATCCAGACCATGATAGAGATACTGTGATTCCATTTGAATTACCGGAGGCGGCGTGAAATATTAAATAAGATACACAGATAGACCATAAGGGACGATGGAGTGAGCCATAAATTACTTTTTCCAGTTTGGATTCATCTTCATCAGCATAGTATTTACGGGAAGATATAATGACAAGTGACATTCCAGAGAAAGAAATCAAAAGCAACGAATTGCTAACACTCTAGAAAACAAGAGAAAAATGTCGATAAATAATTAGGCGTTTTAATTGTTAAAACAATTGTGTAAATCTCACCTTGGATAGATTCACATTGCGATATTTTGCCCAAACTTCATGAAGAAATATACCAATACAATAGGCGCTGATTCGTGTCCAAGGTTTGACATAAATAACTTGAAAATATTCATCCTCGCAGAGTCGGTCAAATAATAAAACTGGCGGATAATTGTAAGTATAAGTCAGCCAAGCTGTGGTTAGTATCGAAGCCATCATGATGCATCCGTTCAAACACCAGCCAATCATTGGTTTTCTGGTTAGGATATGAAGAAAGTGTCAGTAAGTTGTTTAAAATTGAAGAGAATGGTTAACATTTAAATTTTGTAAATGATTTATATCTTACCCGCCATTTATTAAGGCCAAAGTGAGAGATGAGGCGATAAAAAACTGGAAATCGGCAGCTAGAAACCATGTTGCAACTAAACCCTAATTAATGTGATAAGTAAATGAATAATAACTTGTGATTGTGTTTAAATTTAACTTGAAAGACTGTTATTGATGACTTGAAGTCATTACTGATAGATTAATCTTACTGTAATGGGATTAACAGCAACACCGAATAGGTTAATCGTGTATGTCAATGACTTCCACATATCTCGATAGATGCTAGTGTGAAGACTTTGCACTAAAAAGTCCCAATGAGGACCATCACCAAGACGTCGAGCCATTATATAAACCATTATCATCCAGACAAGAGTTGGTGTCAACCTGAATTTGATCAAAAGGATAATTAGTCAAGGTTTTCAATTGTGACTGTATAATTACCTGAAATATCTTAAAACACACGAATGGATGAGTTCACGGGAAAATGCTGAAATTCGCGTCCATAAATCATCTGAGCTTGGACTAGCACTGATTCGACGGACACTTGAATGAGCAATCAGAAATCCACTGAAAATAAGAAAATCAAACAGAATTTTTGAGTTATGAATTTTACGAAGTAGCTCAATATATGATGGTTACCTCAGTACAAAAAATGTATCAGTCCAAATTGATCCATTGCCGATTATTTGAAACCATCGTGAGGCAACAAATGTGTCAAAATTTTCCCTATTCACTTGTAAATTTCGAGGTACAAACGAAAAATTTCAATCATTATTATAACATTTCAATATAAGAGTATTGTTTACCCTTTTTGTGTTTACATACGATTACTAACCTGAATTGAATACAGCAGCAACCATGCAAACATGACCCAATATAACTATTATTATGGATAATGTTCGCCATCCATTGAGACAGCTGATTTCATATTTAGAGGATTTGTTGGATAAAACAATGCTGAAATTGCGACGGAGTGAGAAACAGTATACCGATGAAGCAATTAAGTTACCCAAGGTACCATTGTAGTTGCACTTTGCTTCAATTATTTTTTCGTAAGGCATCAGGTAAAAATCGCTCAATGTTGAAGCAATTACTATAAGTCCTAATAGAGTGAAACAAACTCTTTGAGCCGGATTGAAAAGGAAACCAAGAGTAGAGAAAAAAATAACAGTCAATTTGGTTTAATTTAAATATTGATTTATGATAGTGTAATATTTGAAGTATAAGCTTACATGATGAATTTTTCAGACCAATCGAATGGTAAATCATAATAGGATTCAATTTTGACTGCTTCAACCACTTTAAGAGAAGAATCTGTAAAAAACAAATCAAATTAGCAACGATATTTATTGGATCCTGGATCACTCAAAATTTAATTATAACAATTCTTCTGTAATTACTAAATTGAATCAAATTATCTTTCCACCTTGCTTTCCATTATGAAATAATATGAACTTAAATGTGAACGAATCTTATTTCACTGAAATGTTTGAACTAAGCTGGTTTGTTTACCAACTGCTAGCTTAAAGTAACGATGATTTTGGTGGATGTTATGAAAATTAAACAATAAGCATCAAATATTACTGATTCATCAATTATCATTCAATCTCTGAATAATTTAATTCTTACTTCCGATCAAAATGGTACTGATATCCTGTTCATTACATGTTGATGGAGCACAAATTTCGACAACTCTTTGGTCCCATAAACTTGTTGTAATACGACTTCCATTGTACTATCAATAAACAAACAAAACAATGGTTAAAGACATATTTATAAATAAAGGTAAATTAAGAAATAACAATAGAAATAGAAAAAGATACTTACCTTTATTCCTGTACAAGAGACGATATTACGCCAAAATGTTCCGGTGAAATTTATCCCATACTTATCCGGATTTACATTTAAACATTGATCATAAGCTCCCCAATAAAATGTATTTCCAGACAATACTCCAGATGAAGGTTGACCACATGAATCAAGCACTAAAAATATAATAAACATAACGAACAGTTCATCATAAAAAATGTAATCATTTTTAGTAAAAAAGTGAATTAAAGATGCAATGAGTTCGTTATGACATTGTAAGTAAAGATGACACCACTATTAGGTGCATTTTCAGAAACTTTTGATCTCACTTCAACTAATTCATGATAAATCTTTATTTAAAATATTAGCTATTCTTTCGGCTGGGCTAAGGATAAACATGGCAAGTGGGAGGCTGTGAAAAACTTACATTGATAAGCCCATACTGATTGAGATTTATAAGCTTTGTAAAAATTGTTTAATGTTTTTCGGCACGGAGTTGATATATCAATTGACTGAATAGATTTTAAATGATCTTCATTGCGCGGATAAAATGTGTAAGGTGTTGTGTAGTTAGGTGCAAGGGTTGAAGTAAATAAAGGGTGAGATGAGCAAACTGAGGGACTCCAAGGCTTTCCAATTTTACCGTAAACTAAGCACAAATTAGGTAGCAAGATTGTCACAACTGTAATCCATAGATTGCTTGGCGATAATAACATCTTAACGCACTTTCACCTTGAGATCAACGATGTGAAAAGACTATAAGTTGAAATTAATATGAAAGATCATGCAGCTTGGGTATAATTCAAATAACTGTTTCGACTGATTCAAGTTCAAATAGAGAAGTGTCCGTTCAAAGGCTTAACAATCTTTGGGTTTGCAAGATTTTCTAAGCATAATAAGATTCGACCAAAACAAGCCTAACTAAGTGGCCTCTAATTCAATCTGATTGATGAATCTTCTGTAAATGGACTTGATTTTTCTTGGCACACAACAAAAACAAGAAGATTAGGAATGATAAAATTAGATAGAATCATGAACAACAATTACCTAATGATTATGGACATGTATAAAATCATTTTGAATCCAATTTTCCTGGAAGCAATGATTCTCAAATAACAGAAGTATACTTTCAATTCGCAATAAATCTTTTCTCATCAGCCAACTGGATGACAGCCATTTTTTCATACCCATAGCCATTGAGCCAATTTTAATTCCAATTCTGAGCAATTCCAATTGGACATCATTCCAAAACAATCGATCATTTGTCCAAAAATAGATAAAAAACACATTTTCAGCTGGATAAAGTTTACCTCATACGCTCGTGGACACATTGAGAATTTAATTTTCAAAGGAACATAAAATAAAATATCAACGATTATGTGTCTAATCACAAATAATTAAAATAAAAAGCATCGACTTAATGTTAAAATTAAAAATCTTTCGTCAACTTTTACAATCCTTGAAACAGATTGCTCAAGGTTCATTTATTAATAGTGACTTTTATACTCAATAGATGACACTTTTATCATTTTGATTTTGAATGAAATAAGTTTACAGCAATTTATTTAAACACAATCAATGCTGATAATTAAGGCGATTGTTTTTATTGCGATGGAATATCGATTCAAGCAAATAACCAATGTTAATCAATGGGTTAAATTGTAGGATCGTGAAATTTCATTGCTATGCAATGGATTTCATAATAAACTCATCAATCAATTGGAGAGAACAAGATTTTCAAAGCGATTTGAATTAAACGATTAAACTTCCCTGAAATTAAAGGACACATTAAATCAGTATAATGACAGGAATAAAGCTGATTGGGACAGAAGATGGTTGAAACTGTTCCCTTTATTGTACCAATCTTTTTGATAACAATATTATTTGTAGCCACTATTGAAGCCTTTTCTTGGTCAAATTGTGACTCGGATAAACCAATTCTCACATTTAATTCAATTGAATTCAACGATGATCCAGTTATTATTGGTGACCCTGAAAATCCAGTACAATTATCGCTACAAGCCAATCTAAGTGAACCTTTGGATGATCAGATAATGGTTAAACTGTCAATTAGCAAAGGATTTACAATTTTTGGTAAAAGATTCACTCTTCCAGCATTTCCTTGTATTAAAGGTTATGGTTCTTGTGAACACAATTTATGCAATTATCTGACTAGTTCAGATAATTCTTTTGGCTGTCCATTGCTCAGCTCACTTGGTCGATCATGTTCCTGTCCCATTGAAGCTGGTCCATTAGTCGTCAACCATTTCAATGGTCACATGGATATATCCAATGTACCCTCAGTGATTCTTTGGTTATCATCGGTAAGTAAACCGTTTGTTGTATGTTTAATATTATATATTTTTTAATACATTTTTACATCCTGATACACTCGTAATTCAGTTGTTTCTGAGAATCAGATTTGATAACAAAAATCAGTTGATAAATTGGTGGAAAATAATTAAAGACAATACAAAAACGAATCTTACAAAGTGATTTAGATTGAAATATACAATGTAAAGATAATTGCTAATCTTTTTATTAAACCCTTTGTCTTTATGATCAGGGGGATTACAATGTTAAATTGGTTCTGACAAAAGATGATGTATCGATAGCTTGTGTTAACATGGATATGGATCTTGAAATGGTCAAGGCTTCTTCTCAAGATCAAGACTGAAGTGACCATCACATATACAAACCATAATTGATGATAAATGCAATGGAAAGTGTAAAATGTTATTTTGTTGCTTTTAAATCTTAATGTTGAAAAGATGGAAATTGTTTTTCATTTGTAACATCGATTGCGATCAATAAATTAAAAATACTAATCATTCAACTTATTATCGAGGCTCTATTGTTCATGAGTCAGAGCATGAAAGAAAATTTAATGCCTCATTCCAAGAAATTTCATCAGATAATTCATTGTAATGTGTTGTATTTATTGTACTGGCGATTGCTTATCTCAAGACAATGATTTGTTTGATTGAATCGCGATTTTATATAAAAAATGATCACCCTTTTGATGTATTTTATTTGAATTCATTTGTTTTCTCATAAACTTGAAAAAAAATTCTTGCCACGATGTTTCCAGTTAAGTTTGCGATCTTCTTTGCTTTCTTGGTTTCTACCATCTTAGCTGACCCAATCAGCTACACAGAGTGCGATACAGGTACTAATGTTGCCAAATTAATTTCACTCAACATCCCAGGTAATCCAATTGAAGTTGGCTCCGCTCATCCTGTTGACTTGTCTTTTACTGGATCCCTATCAAAGGACGTTGAAGATGATGTCGAGTTGGTGTTGAAAATTGAAAAACAAGTCAGTGTTTTTGGCATCAAAAAATGGATTTCAATTCCTTGTATCGATGGCTATGGCTCTTGTACTGATAAATTGAGTGAATATTGGACGCGTTACAATTCATCTTTTGTTTGTGGTTTGATGACCAAAATGGGTAAATCTTGTAGTTTCCCAATAGTTGCAGGAGATTATTCAGTCAAAGATTATATAATTCCGGTCAATCTTGATAAATTACCACAGACTATTTTGAATCTAGCAAATGTAAGTATTTAAAGTGTTTTTTGTTTCCAAAATTTCAAAATTTTACATTCAGTGTAAAGTTGCAATTTAAATCAGTGCAATAATTATCATTCATTATGGTAAAAGCAAGTTTTTTATTCACTGTAAAAGATCGTATTTTAATCATTTGTCATTATTTGTATTTTTTTCAATTCAGGGTAAAGTAAAGGTACACATTGAGATTAAAAATGCGCAAACATTGTATTGTGTTGATGTAACTGCTGATCTTAAACTTGAATCTAGTAAGCCTTCTGATGACGAAAATGAATATGGTGGTTGGTCTGATTACAATCCATTCTTGTCTGGATGGTTTCATTAATCACTGATTGAACTTTTGTAACCTAAATAATAAACTTAATATCAATGCAATCGATGGTTTGACAAAAAAATTTCCTTCTTTTGTTTCGAAGAAAGAAAGGGCTGATTTTTTCGGAAGCTAGTTTGATATCTGATGAAATAAAATCTGTTTTAAATTTTAACGCTTTAAGTTGATGAAGACTTTTTACTGTCGGCGGAAGGTGAATAATAGGTGAAATCTCTACCAGTAACACTGACAATCCAGTCTAAATATTTGGTTACATCAACGTAAACACCAGGAACACCCCTTTGTCCACATTCAATGCCCCAAGAAACTAAACCGACCAAAGAGTAGGTTCCGTCTTGTCGATAACAGACCAAAGGTCCACCTCCATCACCCTAGAATAATGTAAGTCAAATTGAATTACATTGTAAGATTATTTTTGAAACAACAAGATAGATGGAAAAATACTAACCTTGCAAGAGTCTCTACTTTCATCTCCACCGGCACAGATGAACCCTTGGTGTAGCTTGAATCTAGATCCTAATCGGGTTTGTCTCAGTGCTTTTTGACAGCTTTCCCGAGGAACCATTTGTATTGATATTTCCTTCAATATACTCGAATAGCTTCCTCCCTCTGATAAGAAAATTAGGAAAGATTAATGAAAAGGAAGGGTTAATTGTGTAAAAAATAGAAAACAGATGAAAAGTAAAAGTGATAAGCGATACTCAACTGTAAGCTGTTTTACCCCAACCAGTTGTAGTACATTCTTGATAATCATGATTTTCTCCATATTCTGGTAAACAAACTGAATCTATGTTTGGTTTGTATTCAACTTGACGACCTAATCGTAAAAGAGCAATATCATTCCATAAATTATTTCCTTTGAATTCTGGATGTATATAAATCTTTTGAATGTCATAATCTTCATGAGGATAAAACTCGTTCTCATTGGCTGTATCCCATTCACCAAGACGTACTTTCAGTATATCAGGATTGTTAACGAAGTCTTTCACGCAATGGGCAACGGTGATAACGTGATAATCATCAATCAAAGTTCCACCGCATTGGAATACATTGACATCTTGTTCAGATTTGAGTAAAGCAGCCTGTAAAAGGTGAAAATTTAGACACAAAAATTTATAAAAAATGTAAATCATAAGACGAAAGTTATTTATTCACCTGCCATGGCCATTCACCGAAACCAGCTTCACCCTTTTTGTCAGGCGATAATATCCTAGAATTTATTCCAGAAGGATGTTGGATTCCACATCTATGTATATAAGGTTGGGTTGTCACAGTTTCAGGGTCAGAACAGCATACATGAAAAGTACCACATGAAGTTGGGTTTAATTTATCATCCTGTGTAATAAAAGTACTTATTTAGAAGGCTTGAAAAGGTTAAGCACATGGATCACACTTTGACACTGTCAGCTGATAATGTCAGCAGATTACTCACGGAAGCTGATTTAGTCGATGGTTGTTTAGTATTGATTCTTGGATCAATTAAACCGGATCCATCTTCAATTACTTTACCATTGTCACATTGGTAATAAGGTACACAAACACAATCCTCTCGATTACCAAAATCAGCAGAAGATTTCATTGGGATTTTATCCTTTTCCGTTTCAAATGACTCATCTTTATCTGAAACAATTGAATTGTCTTTCGGCTTGATGGGTGGTAGAGTTGTTTGTTGATCAGCAAATTTTCTTGTTGAGCCAATCAAAGGTTTAACAGTTGAATTACTATTAAACAGATTGCTCTTTTTAACCGGTGTCACAAAAGAGGATGGAGGTAAAGGAGTCATTGAGGGTTGCGACAAACCAACACGATACCGATGATTTTTACCATTTCTTCGGCCATCTAGGTTATCCGATTTCTTGTATGGTTCATCTATTTCGTCAGGAAATGTGAGTGATAAAATAAATGCTGGTAAAAGGGTAAAAAATAGCACCAAAAGTAGTCGCTTTTGTACAACCATTTTTATCAGCAATAAGCACACAACTAACCAAAACTCTTGTTTTTGAGTGAAAATTAAAAATGGCAAAAATTGTTACAAAATAGACAGGATCTAACCGTAACGGATGTCAATCGTCTATTATTTTCTCATCAATTTCCAGTTCAAGCTTCTGAGAATTGATTGATAACAAAAGTTGTTTTCCTCTCAAAATTTAAACAAATTAAACTGAATCAGTGCTATGCTCAACAAATTCATTTGCAAACAAAAGCAATACAAGCAAACTCCATAGTAATTTTAGGGTAAAATCTTGATTACATTTACGAATCAAGTTATTTGCGCCATGATAAGCTTTAAAATCAAATTAATGATCAATCTTTTCAGTCAAACAAATTAATAAATAACGGTTACTTACATTCAAAGAGTAAATCTTTGCTCACATTGCTTTAGTATTTCCATAGGAATAAAAATCTAAATTTTTAATCGATCCCTCAACCATTGAGTTGTTTACATCAACAATGTCTTGTGTCAATGAGCAAATTAGATACAAAATGGTTTATTTAACCATTTTGTTCAGTAACTGTAAATTGGTACTGTGCAATAAACTATTAATTTAATTTGTTTTAATATGTTTAATTGTAATCAATGGCAAATTATCTTAGTTTTACATTTTGAGCAAATGTAAACTCTGATTATATCAACTACAGTATTGTCTTGAATTTTATTTTATCAATGGTCATTTAAATTGATCTTAAAGTGACAATGAATCTTTCATCTAAAGTAAGTAAATTGCTGGCCTTTGTCTTTTAATTAACCATTTTTTATCAACTAGGAACTGGAAAGCATTGAAAAGATAATCTCTTTGGTGCAAAAAAAATCTGACAAAGAAGATGAGAAGGCCAAATTTTTAGCCGAGTTTGGACTTTTAAAGGTTGGAGACAATTCAAGGAGTCAATATTCAAATGAGGATGCAATCAATCAAACGAACCCCGATGCAAATATAAACCCTGACATGTTGATCAATTCAATACCAGATGAAACAAAAATCTATCATGGAATTGATGTTGCTGCAAGGAAGCTAAAACGCAAATAATATAAATATATACAAATATTATACACGCAAAAGCACGATGGAAATCACAAATGTAATCTCGACAATTTTTACCTGTTTTACCAATCTTTGATTGTGGATTAAGTTTACTAATTTAACTTATGCTGGTTCATAATAATTACTAAAATGTCTTGTTAAAACTTCAGCCTGTCTGTGACGAATTTTTATTTGCTTGCAAAATCAAAAGATTGGTGGAGCAGGAAGATTCTTACGGCAACCTTTTTGGGTTATTGAGAAAACGGAAATAATCAAAAAAGATCGGAGAAAATCCATTAGTAAAATCTCATGAGAACGATTTGAATCGGACGCGATTCTACAATCTAATATTCATTTTTTGCTATCTCAAATAATTCTTAGGATAGCACAGGAGGTAAATGAGATGTAACACCAATCTAATACTGATTATAGATGCACTCGTGGCAATTTCAAAATGTATGGAGATTTTGGCCTAGCAGATGATACTAAATCAAATTAGACACTTGTAAGCTGGTAATAACTTGGCTAATAGTCATTTGCGGGTGGGATTCAGAAGACAAATGTTTATTAACTATTATTAAGTTGTAATTGTATTATATTTATACTGTATTAATAAAAAACAAACCAGTAAGACTGATGAATTAGTCTTTCTGCTTTCATTAATTTACTCTCTCATTTCATTGAATTTTCGGTCATCATTTTCGTATTTTTTCTGTTTTCTCGATTGATCCAATTGTATGTCTGAGTGTTCAACTCTATTGTCATTATCAATGTGTATCAAATGATTTCAATTCAGAATTCGATAATAACGAACAGGTATCGAAATTCAGATCAATGAAATCTCAATAGTTCTCAACATGTTGATAGCAACAAACAGTTGATTTTTTGCGTCACCATCGTGATGCATGCAAAAATAAACAAAACATTGTTGAAGTAACAAAGATTAATCTTGTAAATTTGAATTTTCCGAAAATGTAAGTTGTTTTGCACAATTTAACTGAAAAAATTAATGAAATCACACTCTTTACAGGTCAACAACTCGGAGCTCCACTGGAATCAAAGGCAAAACAAGTACTCAACAACCAACCAAAAAAACAATTAGTAAGCCTTCAACTGTTCAAGATAGACCTAATTCTCGTGTTCCTTCAAGAATCATAGTTTCAAATAACCCAACCAAGCCTAAGGATGTTGATAATAAGCCCATCAAAACTACTAATGTCAATAGTAAAGTGAATGTTCAGACCAAAACACAAACACCAACACGACCTACGATTGAAACTAGACCAAAGACAAAAGTGATATCAAAAACTAATGCTGCAAACACAGGGGCACAAAACACTGGTCCCAAAATAAACGAGAGACGATTGTCAAGAGTTGAAACTAAAACTGCGACTAAATCAAGACCTACATTGAGTAAAACAGTTATCATTCAATCGGAAAACTCAATCAAAGCAGCAGTTAACGGTGATAAAACGACAGAAAGAGCAAAAACAGTAAATAAAAGATCCATTGTGGTCAATAATTCGTCTGTATCAGCAACAAGTAAAGGCCAAAAACAACAACGTCAAGCAGAAGTGCCCGATACTAGATCTAAAATAGATCAAATTGTTTCTGATCGACCGATTTCTTCCATTCGACTTACTGAACCACAGGTTAAAGAGGTACGAGCTCATTGATTATAATATGTATTAATTGAACGATTAATCTATTATAAAAATTGTATGTTCTAGGAAACAATTAAACCGAAAGAAGAATCAAAACCAAAACCCAAACCTGAACCCAAACCAAAACCCAAACCTGAACCCAAACCTGAAGTGGAAGATTCAATAAAAACTGATGAAGAAGATACAACGACGGAAGCAGATTATTCTGATGATTTTGAAGATTATGAATCTGATTTTGAGGAATATGAAAGCCAAGAGGAAGACGAAGTTAAATCTACCGAAGTCTCGTTGTCAAATGAAACAAACAAATCCATAGATTTGAAAAAAGTGAAACTAACGGCATTGACTGTCCCATCCATAGCAAAGGTTCATGGTCAGAACAACCAGCAACCTACATTGGTGGCCTCAAATGAAGAAGCCGCACGAATAAAATGGGAAATAACATTACCATCACCTAAAGTAAATATTAATGACGAGATAAATGAAAACAAAGAATCATTGCAAGAACAGAGAAATGTAAAATTTAAGGATGACGCGTCCGATGTAGCTAATGTTTTAAGCCGGTTACTTGGTCCGAAAAATGTTAAACATTTGGGTAGCCAAACAGTAGAAAAATCGGAAGCTTCATGTCAATCAGATGAAATTCATGTAAATAATAAGAGTATTCAGTGTCCAGCTCGATCAAGTACATCAAATATTTACGACCAAAGTAAAATTATGATAGACAATAATATTGACATCCTTCGGTTATCACACTTCCTAGAGATTGGAGAGAAAATAACAAAAAATTTAATCACAAGCAATACTCATGGTGATCAGAATAAAATTCAAATAGCTAATTCGAGAAACGCGTCTGGGATCCCAAAAAGTGATAGACTAATTATTTCATACCAGTTTCCTGAGAGTTATAAGACCTTCCAATTGAATAACCTTATAACTGACGGGCGTTATGTTTATGCTGTAACCAGTTATGATTTTGCCAACGGAATCTACTTGGGTAATAGTGGATCTGTAGTTCTGATTTGGAGCCTACTTGAGCCAAGATCGTGCGAATTTATGTTATTTTGTAAATTTATGTTGACTCAAATTGTTACTGATAATGAATTTTTGGTTGTTGCTGGGTCATCCGATGGATCTTTAATAGCATGGGACTTGCGTGAACCATCGCACTTTCATAATCAAATGAATAAACCATTTCTTGAATTTAACCCGAATCATCCTTTAAGAAATCCATCATTTACGACTGCAGTTGGTAAACATTCAGATCATCATCAAGATAGGATCCTTCAGCTCTTTTATCGGTATGAAGTGAATGATGATACAGAAGCCAGGCGGATTATATCCCTTGATGAATTAGGAAAAATTATTGTCTGGTTGATAGTTGAATCATATGCTGATGACCATTCTTCGCAGCAAATAACAGATGGACTAAGGCCTGGAAGCTGTGTGAGGTTACAGATTGCAATGACGTTACATCTACCAAATAACTATATTATCACAGACGCATCAATAACTTGCATTGACTGTTCTCCGAGCGACTCTTGGAATTATCTTATTGGAACCAATCTCGGGTCTATTTTAAGATACTCAAAATACCTTGATAATTTATCTGATCCTCTGGAAGTAGTAAAATACACATATCTTTCAGATGAAATTCACCATCCAACGACTTGTGTAGTTTATCATCCCAATCCAGAGAGTGATTTATTCCTAGCTGGTTACATGGATGGTTCCATCTGCATTTTTTCGATCAAATACGAGTTTCCAAGTCGTATATTATTAGCAGAAGACACAGGATATTCGACTATTGTTAGCTCTTTTTGGCTTTCGATGGATTCTGAATTATTTCTGGTTTTAGATCACACCAAGGGTATTTCCATTCGCGACGCAAAGGGTGAAAACCAAAGCTTGTTTGAACACCAGAATCCAAATGAAAGGTAAAGATGTACCACTAGAGTGATAAAAAAAATTCATTGTAAATTTTGGTGTTTTATTTACAACAGGATTCTCTTTGTTACCAAAAGCTTGATTAACCTGGATGACTATTTTCTGGTAAATAGACTTGAAGTAATCCTTTCAATCTTTGATAAAATCCTTGCATCTTTGATTCACAGGTTTATGGCTTGGAAGATTCATCAATTGTTGGCCTCAATCTGTCTAACCAAATCCTGAATTGTTGATGATAAGGTATTATCAGACTTACAGACTTATTGTTAATTAATGACCAGAATTAAAAGGTAACATGACTATTTTGAGATGTGCTAACAAAAACCGTAACTTTTTAAATTTTTAGGCGGTAAACTGAGAATAGCTTATCCACACTATTCATCGGGCAGTTAGTAATAATGTTGATAATAATGCAGTTGAAAATTAATAATTAATAATTTTAGTTATGCATTAAATTGAACTGATGTAAAAAACGTATTTTTTATGGTTAACATTTTTTACATAACTCGCCCGTTATAAGAATCATAATCCAGCTCTTTCAGATCATTAATTCAACAATTAATGCTATTTCAGCAACCAGTGTCGATTCAAACAAAAAACGTTTAATATTCAAATCCATTTTGAGGCCATGGTCTGAATTCCGAGAATAGCTGAGATTCAAAATACAAAATAGCATAAGGTAAAACAATTTCCAGATTATCGAGTGTTTTATTAATCAAAAGGAGCTGTTTTACCCATTTTGTGGCCTTTTCAAGTTATTTCAGCAACTAAACGTCGTATCAAAAACTGATTCCATATTTATGATGAAATTAATCTAAATGAATTGTTTTACGGAAAAAAATTAGCTTGTAAAAAATCTATTTCTTAGGCGAATTCCGTTCTCCTCCTTTCATTCTGATCTCTTAAATCATTAACTCAGGTTCAATTTGTAATCTAACATTGACCAGTTGGATTGATTCAACAAGTGCAATTTTACTCAATGGTTCAATAGTTTAACTTGATTGGTTTACTGATCATATCAACAGAACAACTTTCGAATAATTCTCGATGAAACAGTTTACTTAATAATTCATTGATTACAATGTATCGAGAAATTTCCATCTTCCAACCATTTGTTGGACTCCCAAACTTCCCTCAAAACTGCTTTTGTTTCCTCACTTTCTGTATCTTGTAAAATTTTTCAACTTGCCATACCTGATAGAATCAGCTTATCCAAAAGAGCAATAATCAACACTGATAATATAATAACGTCAATTCAATCTAATTTATCAAAATCAGACCAGTTCTATTCTCTAGTGTTTAAACAACAATTTTGAATCACGCAATTTTGCATTGAATTATTTATCAGAATCAAAGCGTGGTCTCTGGGCATTCAACCTCAAAATTTGTTTCGTGATTGTAGTTTTATGTCTGTCATTGAATTGTTTTCATTTTCAAATGGATGATTCCGAATGGGAAATAACCGCGATCAGCAAAGATAATAGCCTTAGCAAAAAAAATTGGCTGGTTTATTCCAATCGCTTTGATTTTGTCTAATCAGTGAGTTAGTTATTAAAAAATGAATGAAAACATTGAAAAGTAATTCTTGTAGGATAAAAAATTAGTCATTTCGTTGTAAATTGTTTGCCATTGTTAACTAAGACGAAAATTTATAAATATATATTCAACATGTTCATTGTCTTTGATTAAAAAACAGCTTGTGGTTTGATGGAAAGTCGATAGGTCCTTCTCTTGGTTCCCTTGTTTGGTAATACACAAAAAACAAGAATATAGTTGCTGCTATTATGATTTGGATAGCATTAAAAACTGAGATCACAGCATTTTGTAAAGTTGAAAACAAAAAATATCAACATTTTCATTTGAAAAACTTCCAATAAATTAGACATGCCAATATGCCCACTTCAATGATAATTATAACGATGAGTAGAAATTTGTTCGTTACAACTCGCCTATTGATACTTCTCAGTATACCATGCACCCGTTTCAAATGAAATCCAGTTTCATCTAATCTTTCCCTTGTTCGAGTCAATGTTTCTCGTTGTTGACCCAATTCCGTGATAACTGTTGTACCAATAGTTTCAGTTTCTTTGGCAATCATCTGTGCTCGACTTAAACTGGCTCCAGTTTTTTGTAAAATTTGAATACCTTTTGTAACCTTCAAATTTGTTTCAAAGTCCACTGGCCGTGAAGTTGATGGAGCAATGGATGGACCACCAATTAATGCACCAGGATTGGTTCGGGCAGTATTTTTGTAATCATTCCAGTCTGCAGTAATCTGACTCCAATTAAAATTCATTTCAGTTTTAACCAAACTTGGAGCCATGTCTACTTCATTTTTCATATAATCAATAATTTTATCGCCTTCCGAGAACATGTTATTAAGAACAGCTTCACCTAAAAATAGGAGATAAATTGGAAAAATCATTTTTAAGAGATTTTTTCACATTTTCTAGAAATAAATTGAAACATACTAATTCTTTGTCTCAATCGGGCTGTTATTTTATCTCTAACAGAGTAATAATCTTCTTTAAGATCCTCAAATCGTTTGGATGAAGCCATTTTTAACTGGGTTAAATATTATTTATAAGCAAAGGGTAATGCTCTAATGAAAGGTAGAGAGACAAGATTGTCAGGCCAGGCCAAAAGGTCAATGCGTAGGTGGCTCGTAGGGTTGCCAATGGTATTATGTTGAAGATGCAAAGATGATTAGAAGAGAAAATAAATACCTGTGGAAAAGAAAGAGAAGGAAAAAGAGTGAACACCAATATGTTGAATTGAATATCATGGAAAAAAGGGTATGGAGTTTGCTTGATCGAATGTAGGTTATATTCTGGATCGATGGTGATGATGAGGTCGAGGGGGTTGGACACGGAAGTAGATTGGGTTTGTACAGAGATGAAGAGGAAGAACAAGAAAACGAATAAGGAAACTGAAGAGGCAAAAGTTGAAAAAGAACGAGGCTACAAAGTTCATTGTGCGCAACTTTGACTCTAATTTTGATATCTGAGTAAAGGGCATTAGTTCATTCAACTCGTTGCCTAAATAATTTGGGTTCCATGGTAAGAGTTAGTGCGAAACCAGGCTACATAAACAATGAAATTTATTTCTTTCTTCTCTTTCTACTTTCTTTTTCTTCCTTTTTTCTTGGAGTTGTTGTTATTTTTTTCATCTATTATCATTGCCTTCCTAGTGGATAGTAAGAGATGATGAATAAAGAGAGGAAAACAATGAAGGGAAAAGTAAGAAAAAAGTAGATTCTAACAGTTGAAGAGCCTTTAACCAGAATTCAGAAGGATATTAACCTAAAATAACCTTGTGATTTTCATTCTTTTCTGGGTCAGGCCAATGATAAAAATGGCAATGTTTCTTACTTTCACTTCCTTCTCACTAAAGTTCACAACTTTTCAATAAATGTTTATTTTTCTGTGTCAACTGTTAATTCGATTAACTTGGGTAATCAAATTTTGTCACAAACAGAAGCAAATCCGCCTCTCTATAAACTAGAAACAGTTAAGTAAAAAAATAAAAGTCAACAACAGATCGACTAAGGAAATATACATGAACATCATATATAAATAAAAGTATCACTGTGAGATCGAGGCTTACTCATTAATTGCATTTGACTCCCTTTGAACTCTCCATTGAATCTTAAGCTGGCTATATATGATGATATGAACAATTGGAGCAAAGTAGATTTAATTGTCAGGTCAACCTTTTACTATAAAGAGAATGAGAAAGAGAAAAAAGAATGCAGAGTTAAGAGGGAGTAACACAGGTTTATGAGTAAAATAAGAAAGATATGTAATGATATGTTTAATTTCTTACCTAAATTCTAGAGTAAAGTAAATTAGAGGTCAAAAATCAACAGATTGGGAGGACAGTTATAATTTTTGCGTTCAGTAAATTCAATGTTACGATAATCATTCTAAAGCCTCAATAAGTGTCAAGACAACAAAATAGAGGCTCAACATATGATCAGACTAGATTTTTAAGGTGTTACTGTACAGCGACCAGGCCAATCAGTTGTTTGCCATTCCAGACCAATGAAACAGAAATTCAGGGAATAACAATAATAATTAGTTTAACGAGTGTAAAAAAAGAAAGAAGGTAAAAAAATGAAATCAATTAATTGTAATAATAAAAGACACAAGAGATAAAACATCAACAGCAAGGCGGAGCTACTGTCGACCCAAAAGAAGTTGCGCAAAACTCAAACATGATCATAGGTAACTGTTAATGCAAAAAAATAGCCAAATAAAATTATTGAGCTTATTGTCATCATCAGTCTGTTGATCTCAAACCAATTTAACTTGATTGTGATAAGATTATTAATATTTATTGTAACCAAAAAGACAATTGCGGATAAATTTTACAATAATTGCAACAATCAACCCAAAAGTGTTTTGTATATCAAAAAGAACGACCATCAACAAGATCAACAACAAAAGCAACAACATAAAATTGTATGGCCTGAGCTGTTCCCTCAATTATTCTGGTTAACTCTATTTTCAAATTTATCCCTAATTTGACATATTGTGGCCCAAAAAATTGATATTATGTTAACCTTTAAAATCAACCGATCAATTGACAACGGCCGTTAAAATCGAGGTAAGCTTGTTAACCAATAAGAACCAACAAAAATTGAATTTCATCTTTTATTTATTACCAAAAAAGGGTGAATGCATGTTTGTTAACTTTCATGATTAATTGTTATCTCATATGTTAACCAGTTATAAACAAAAACATGATACATCAAAGATATTACTACTGAAGTCATCTTCAAATCAAAGTCTAGCATTTAGACACACAAATTAATCTTATTCTGTCAGGAAACAAAATTATTTATTTGTTCAATTCACGCTCGTTTACATGTTATTACAACTGACAGTACATCAACAAAACTGGTTTACATACCGCGACATTGTCATTGATTTTGTTCATTTTTCCAGTGATTTCAAGTAAAACTCATTACTTTTCATGAATTGATAAACAACTTTCTATTAAACTCTTTAGGCTAATAGTTAACCAGTTTTCTTTGTCAATCTCAACTTACAAAGTGTTTTATTTAGGTCAAACCTTTACCTTTTCAACCTGTACCAAGAGTAACTTGAAACATATTATAAAATCAATTTTAAATTCATATTAATTATTTATGTCTGAAAGGCAAATCAGACAGAAAAACCTTTTGTAATAAACAAAAATGTTGCTAAAGAAAAATAAATTTAATATTCAGTTGGTAATGACAAAGATGGAAACGTGAAACTAGATTGATTGTCCAATTGCCATTCGTGTGATTACATTTTGATCAACTTTTGTCCAAAAATGGGTCAATCAAATTGACTTACAATCCTATGAAAATCTTACAGTCATGATAAAACCATGATGACTGTAAATCCTAGCCAAAAATCATTATCTAGATCATCAACTTGATCATCTTGAACACAGTGATAATCATAGAAAGATCAAGTTTTTTCATTGTCACGTAGTTAATTCACTTAGACCAGCCTTTGATAATAATAATCATAACAAAGTCCAGCATCTACATAATTGATTAACCAAATTCAGGTCAAATTGATTTTTCATTTTGATTCCATCGCTCAATTTTTCCATCAAATTTCATTCCAATCAAAACTGACACTCCAAGTACATTTCAAGTTACCTTTTTTGTTTCACTATTTTAATTATTTAATCTTGACTATTCACATTTACATTTGACATTTGGACAATCAAAATCAAATGCCAGTCAATTGTTGCTAACTAACAGTCCTAACAGTTTTGTTTCAACGATAACTCCACCAAATAATATCATCATTACAATACATTATCACCATCGATCGATAAATGATGGAAACCTCTAACAATGATGATAATATTAATGATTATTCAATCTTGTTTCATCTAAAAATTTAGGAATAATTTCCTCTCTGATTATCGGTGAACCCAAAATTTTATTAATCAACTCAATCAAATTTCCGTATTGCAATCTTAACAATCTGTAAATCTTGAAATCAACCCTTTAAATCTGTATCTGTGTTGAAGCTTGAAAACCCTTTTTAATCAATATCTTTGCTAATTTGAGGATAAATTGTGAAAACACTTTCAATTGCATTAATTGTTAAACCTACAAACTCCCAATCAATTAGTGTGATTCAATAAACATCTTGCTTCCGATGTTACATTTGTAAGAACCAATTGATGGTTAATCATTTGTGATAATTTACAGCTTTTCATCTTAATGCTACCATTTGATTAACCATTGATTGTTACTATTACTGTTGATTTGATCCTTGATACTTCTTGATTGTACTTAATTGTAGTACGGAAAAAAAAGTTATCAAAATGATCATTCAACACGAAAACAGTAAAACAAAAAATCTTGAGCTTCTATCAATAGTCTTTTTTCCTATGGGTTTTTCAGCTCAATCTTTATCTGCTTTTCACTTCTCTATTTACATGTTGATAGATTTTTGATAAAATCTTAATTGGACGCAAAAATTAAGAGTGATTAAGTGAGAGGTCCTATTGGTATTATTGTTATGTTCATTGATTACGATTGTTCCCTAACAATGACAACAGTTTCACCCCAGGGTCACATTTAAGTGGAGGTTGATTCTGTACTCGTAATGCAATTTGATTATAATTTTATTTTTTCAATTTTTTCTCTTTTCATTTTCATCATGCAATTTACACTCATATAACTCTCAATGATAGTCAATGCCCAGTTTTCCAGGCTCAGATTTGACTCAAAGTTTATATAACTTACTTGACTGAATCACAACTAATCCCTGGTTTACTCAGAGTTGACCAGATTTTTATCGCCTTTCCATTGTTATTACAAATCAGTTTAACTCTAAATAATGTTATGACCAAAGTTTAATTCTGGTTTATGGCAACTCTTATAATGGTTTATACATAATGGTTAGACGATTAGTAAACCTTATTTAATCAATTCCAGTGCAACTAGAGTTTGCCTTTATTTTTTAATCATTTTCAAGACAATCTAACATGGAAAAGACCATTTTTGTAAAAATTAGACTGATTCTTAGGAACAGATGATAATTATTGTAATATATTTGGGTTTAAATGATATTAGTTTTCCCTTCTTCCTATGCAATTTAAACTCTGAACTCGACCTGATTTTGAGTTATCTTTTCAATCAGTTTTAATCTTGCAAATGTTGGTTTATATCAAGTTAATTTATTAACCTATTCATCTATTCAATATTTTACACTCCATTACACCTTAAATGGTATGTCAGTTGAAAAGCAAAAAATAAGAAGCAAATTCGCCAAAAAATTCCATTTATATTGAATACCATGAGAATTAGACAAACTCTGAAGCATCTAATCTATCATGTTATATTGCTCGTTCCTACCATAATTCATATTTATCATTACAGCTTTGACCAGTCCAAGATGAAAGGTTAATTATCAGTTTTTGCTACCTTTTCATGAAAACAAATTCATTTGAAATGCTGTCATCAATCTGAGAAAATAAAAATTTAAGTAAAATCCATATTGATTACAATTATCTGATAATCATTAGATTAACTAAATAATTTTTATTGTTACCAAGGCTTTGATTGAAACATTTCCAGTCTCATTTTTAGCCTTTTTTCTTGCATTCATTTCAACCTTTTCCGACTAAAAATTATCGATTCAATAATAATGCTGATAAATTATGATATTTTCAATTAATTATTTCGATTACAATCAGTTGAAATTGTAAACAATTGTAAACAGTTGAACCAACATGTTGAAAATGAAAGACTATCAAGAAGATTGGTTGATTGTTGGGTTAACAATTTACGTGTGCTAATTGTTCAATTGTTAATACGTGTTGTTGAACATGTAATAAACATTGTTACACTAAACTGTCAACATTGTCAATAAGGAAAGTTAATCAATAATTGTAATCAGTTGAATTGAGCAAAATTAATTTTTTGAATAATATTGAAATGAACAAAATGTTAATAGGAAAAAATCGTGTAAATCTGTTTGTACTGGTTAAACATATTCATCAATGATAACCAATATCATCACTTTGGAGGACTCTCACAATTGATTGTTATCATCCTCTTTATTTATGATATCTTCTTGCCTTTCAGACAACAATTAATTGGGAAGTCAGTGGAGCCATTAAATCAATTTTCATCATTAAAAGTGTCAAAGCAACAATCGAAACATTGTTTCCAATGGAAAACTGATTGACCGCAAATCACCTTTTTCAATTTACCTTCAACACTTTTCACTTTTGTCCATCTCTGCCATCATCTATTAACCAAACACACAAATAATATCCATAAAATATCACATCAGATAATCATTAGATTGTCATATCATCATTAATTATGATGAACCCAGTAATTTGTGTTCATTCAATTAATTACTAATTTGGATTTATCCTCATTTGATCACAATTGTTTCATCTTTTACTTTTCTTTGACTTTTTTTCAAATTCAAAAATTCATATTTGTATAACTGATTCAACTTCACCGACTATTAACAATACAACAATTATTGTTAATTTTATATCATAATATCACAACATGTGTGACCTTATATCTTACCATATACCTGAAGCTGTAAGAATTGAAGTGATTGAGGTAAGTTCAGGTGAATTAAAACTGTTGTTTTTTTGTATAAAATTAAAGTTCATTTCAAATTTTTCTCTACTGTAACCTTTGCCTTTTTGTGTCACTTTCAGGTTTCAAATGATGATGAATCGGATTTACATGGTGATGAAAATACTCGCCGATTCAGTATTGATCCACAAATAACTGACCTTTCAGTTCTTCATTCCATCATTGTTAGAGCTTTTAGTATTAAAAGGTAAATTGTGTTCAAAATTAACTGACAGGTTAAAGTTGACATTTTTTGGTCAAACCTTCAATCAACTCAATTTTATGACAATGTTTTCAAGTTTTTAGCTTTTCTTCAATGTTGAAATTTTAATTTCTATTTTTTTCTGCTTGATTATCAATTGTTTTACTTTCAGTGATTTCACTTTAAATTACCTTCGACGAGATTTGAATATATTTGTGCCACTCAAAAGTGACTGGGATCTGGATTCAGCTTACATCAACTCATCAAAACCTTTCCTATTTGTTAGGATGACCACTGAAAAGTACAATTCATTAACCGATTGGGATATAATTACAGTTGCTGATATCACTCGAGCTGCTCAAATAGCTGCAAATCAAACAACTTCAGTTGCAAATACATTACTTCACAAAGTAAGTCCATTTTTGATCAACCCTCAATGACTAAAATTGACCTCTAGAAAAGGCCATCAAAACAGCTTTAAACCGCAAAGGCCTAGAAAAGCCATTTCTCAGTCCATTCTTTTGACCATCATTATCAGTGCAAACAATTTTCCTTTTCATATCATTCCATTCCTAAGTCTAACTACCAATCTTAATATCTCGATCTTCAACAGATTACTCAATCTAAACCCTTATCTTTTTACAATGAATATTTTTTAAGGTGTCGCATTATAATCTTCAAGTATCATCATCATAACTCTCTAATAAATCACCTTAGTTCTGTTGATAGCTTCAGCCACACCTGCAGATATAATCTATCAGAGTGTCCAATTTCAATGATAACCATCATTTAGTATCTTGATGTCATTGAACAAAAAGATCGCTTTTGTTTGTTCAACCTTTCAACTTACAGGGAGAAAATTATTTAACCAGTTGATTTCAACTGTCTATTTGTCTGTGTCTGAGTCTCCATGGTTCAAATATTGTTGCATAGTTAATAGATAAAACTGGGTCCAAAAAGATGTTGAATCTTTTGATAAATTCAGTATGATTATAATTATCTATCACTTGAACTGAGAGGCTCGTCATTTTGTTTTGTTCTGCTTCTATTTTTTGGGTTATTGTCTATTGACTAAAGCATTACCATTTATCTTGCTGTCTATTTTTTTGTCAATTATCTTGTTGATTATAATTCAGTCAACAATATTTTTCATTTACACTACTGTCCTTCCTTTGACCTCTGTTAGTCTTCTGTTCATGTTCTCATTCTCTCTCACTTTTCATCATAACCATCATCATGCATTTTCCTGGAAGAATCATCATTTTCCAGTTTTCATCTAAATTATTGCTTAAAAGACCATTGGCTACTGATTAATTAATCGGTAGGATAATCAATGAACTATTTACCCATTTGTTGACGACAACAGGTTATTACTAAGGTGTTGGTATTCTAGTTTAGTAAACACCAGTTAATTCAGGATTTTACTGAAAAATTTCACAATTTGCATCCTTTCAACATGAAAATTACCCTTTGAGTTGAGATAAATATTCATTGAATCAACTTATGTTTTCTACAGTCAAAGTTCTGTTGTCAGATTGACAGTGAGATGTGAAAAAAATGATTAATTTGTATTTTAATTGTGTCTATAAATATGATTAGTGTTTTTTAGACGCCTCTAGAGAGTCAGATATTACACTGAATATCTTGAATGGTTAATCAGGGGAAATGCAACACATGGTGATGGCATGGTTAGGTTGTGTTTTCATAGTATCAATGACGCTTTATCAGTAAAACAAAACTGGTAAAAACCCTTTTGTTTCAATTATTTTAATTTATTTTATTTTTACCCTTTTTTAGGTGGAAAAAATTGTGAGCAAAGCTTTCAGCAGATCTTCATCAGCTAGTCCAATCGAGTCCAACCCAAGTCCATTAAATGAAAAACAATATTATTCCTATTTGGATTCAGAAGGTCGAATCCGGTCAACTCGAGAATTGCGTATTTCAATCTTTCGCCGTGGTGTTGACCCAATCCTTCGTCGTGCTGTTTGGAAGCACCTGTTAAATGTTTATCCACCCGGTTTAACGGGAAACCAAAGATATGAGTATATTAAGGAAAAGGCTGACGAATACCATCGAATGAAAAATTTGTGGAGTTCAATGGTTGGCTCTGATGAGGTGGTTGATTACACCATTAACATGGTTCGCAAGGATGTCCTTCGGACCGATCGAATGCATCCCTTTTATTTGGGTTCAGGAGATGATAATCCCAATGTTGTTAGCTTGTTGAACATTTTAACTACGTTTGCCTTAAACCATGGAGTTAAATATTGCCAAGGAATGTCCGATCTAGTTTCACCTTTACTTTATGCAATGAAGGATGAGGCTCAAGCTTACATTTGTTTTTGTGCTTTGATGCGTCGATTACGGGAAAATTTCACTCTTGATGGTCAAGCCATTAGCTGTAAATTTGAAAATCTTTCACGTTTACTTCAATATTATGATCCAGATTTTTATTTATATCTTAAACAAGTCGGTGCTCAGGACCTATTGTTCTGTTATCGATGGATTCTTTTGGAATTGAAACGTGAATTTCCCTTTGACTGTGCTCTTACCATGTTGGAAGTCCTCTGGTCTTCAATTCCTCCGCTTATCATTGATGATCTACCTTTATTTGAAGATAATTTCCGCTTTCAAATTGGTGGTACTGCAGATGCGTTAACACTTGAAGCTGAACTTGCCAATGGATATCATCAGCATCATCATTCAGATGGAGAGGGAAATGAAGGAGATGTTGATGAGGATGTTGATGGTGATTTGATTCATGATGAGATTGATGAAGATGAAGATAACTATCAAAAGACAAACCTGAATAATAGATGTGAACAAAATGTTAATAAGCTTTGTAATCACAACAATGCCGAGTGTCAGATTGTAAATAATTCAACTAATTCACAGGCACGGAAACAATCTAATTCAAGTCGAAATGTAAAAATACCAATTAGCAATCGTCGTCATGGATATCGCTATGGAGATCGTTTTTGTTTAATGAATCACAGTTTACCTGAATATGGAGCTCGATTTGAATGTGCAGATCTTGAAAATTCGGGTTCAATTAGAATAAAGGGATTCTTTTTAAATCATAACGAAGAATCAAATTTACCAGTTCTAAATCGATCTGCAATTGATAGTCATCAATTACTTTCATCATCAACAGTAATTCCTGGCAAATCAGTCGGAAGAGTTGCTGGTTTGATTAACCATTCAATAGGAGTCAATGGATTCTCAGCTCCAGCTCGAAACTCTTTACCACACATTATGAAATCAAGTCGACCATTGCGAACCATTCGATTTTTACCTAAAATACTGAGCAATGATTCAAGGGAAATTGATTCACCCGATGCAGAAGAATCGTCAACAAAGCAATACAGTTTCCCACCCAAATTTGACAAAGGGTTTAGTATTGATAGTGATGGAGACTGTCGTCGGTTGAATAGCTTTGAGTCAATTGGATCTTCAAAAAATTCATCTGTAGATATGGATGAAGATGTTGAATCTACTGTTCGTCATGAAGCAAGGACCACTGGGGCTGGCTTGAGTGGACTTAAAGGGAGCAATGACAGTGGCTCATCTTCGTCGTCATCTTCATCTTCATCAGCTGCAGTTAGGTTACGCTGTCAACAAAGACGTCGTCTCTTCTGTCGATTAGGTTCAAGTGGAGGTCGTGACAATAGTGAACCAGGTTCACCTTTGTCTCCATACTCAGGATCCTTTGGGAATGGCCATGAAGTTGAAACTGAATATGAACAAGATCTGATTGTCCATTGTAACGGAGAGTATACAGATTCACGGGTTAACCAACAAGATTGGATAATTCCTCGGGGATTGGCTAGAAGTGTCAGCTATGAATGTCTCAAGAATCTCACGGTGACATCAGGTTCACCAACCCATGAAAACACTTGCAATGGTCCAACTGGTGCTTTATCGGTAAATGGATTGAGAGGAAGTGCTAGTAATGGATCACACCTCAATGGAACCGGATTAACAACTGATCCTGATGCACCTTTAGGTTCACGAAATAGCAGTTCTCAAGGGTTGGAAAAGGAACGATCCGAAGGTTATGGCTCAGGATCAGATCCTTCTGATCTTATGTCTGAAGTACATTCCGCTTTTGGTGGAACCCTGGATGGAAATAAATCTGATTCATCTTCATGTTCATCTCTTGTAATCCTCAACTCAAATGGATCAACAACCACCGAATCAACTGGCTCACCATCGTCATCATCTCAACCTTTATCCACAAAACCAATGCTCCCTTCACCCTCTCAATTAGGATCATCAAATGCATTTATGTTGTTCCTTTGTCTTTCCATTTTACTTCAACATCGGGATAAAATAATGTCTTCAGGATTGGATTGCAATGAGATTGCAGTTTACTTTGATTCATACATTCGACGGCATAATGTTCATTCGGTTTTGGATTCTGGAAGGGTACTGTTTCATTCTTATCTATCTCAATGGCGTGAATCGGGAGAAAATGAACCTGATTTATCACAAGATTTCCCACCAACCGCTTAAACAGTCAACTTGCCATCATCAAGCCAAGTTTTTAATTACATTAAACAATCTCAAAAAACAAAAGACGGAACTTCATCACATTTATCGTTTTAAATATGAAATAGAAACCTGATTCAGGTTCCAACTCAAGTCATGCTTGTTATCAGCTTAACCAGTTGATTGCTATGTTAATAATCATGCTAGGACTAAACAGTTTTTGATATTTACCAATTTGATATCCTCAAGGATTTCTTTATCCTTTATTTCATCTTCATATTGAACACCTTTTTTATTTTGTTTCATTTTTATCAAATTTTGTGTCTTTCTTTACTTTCATCACTCAAATTATCATTCCAGTTTCAATCAAATATTCACTCACCTTTTATAATCTCTCGTTGAAAATCATTTTCCTAAACAACAACTCTCATTGATATACTTGATTATAACTATTATTATTATTATTATTATCACCATTATTACTATTGCTGCTATTATTAAGAAAAGTTGACAAGAAAATGTTACAATTTTATATATGGAACTGAAAAAAAACAAACCAAAATTTGCAAGAAAAACTGGTTTTCTGATACAAAAATTACCTCAACTGTGATCGTGTTTAACTAATACAAGATGAAGAAAAAAAATCATCATTTGAAAAATCTTTTCATCAACCTTTTAATTGTTTTTACGTTCCACCAAAATCTCATTTATATTCACATCAATGGATACAGATGAGGTTGATTCAACCAGAAATGCTTAATTCCTTGTGCAATTGTCTTTCTTGATCTTTACTCTACCGATTTAATTCACAATCAACTGCTATTAAACTCACTAATAACAACAAACCTTTCAAGACCAAATGAGATGCCAAATTTAAGACAGTAATAATCATTGATGAAAATTAATGAATCGATTGGAAAGTCAAGAAGAAAATGTTGATTCAATGTTAAAGATTTTTTGATTTTGTTGAATTGTATTCTCACTTGAATAAAATGAATAAACTGATTGCCTGAAAGTGAAATAAACTTTGTCATTGATTTTAATATTACATTCCTACTCGACAAATAATGTCATTATCAAATTACAAATGTTTATCCAGTTTGGTTAAATTGAAAAATGAAGTAAGAAAACTCTAGAAAGTCTATAACCAAAATTGAGCTTCGAGCATGAAAAAATAATGAAGCAAAGCTTTGATTAACTATGGTCAGATAACGTTCAAAAGTAACTGCTATATTTGACGAGCAGAAGCCCAGTCAAACGCTACATAGACGCCAAATCCAAGAGCACATTTGGTAGCGAGCGAATAAGCAGTGGCTTTTTAATTTTTGAATTCTTATGTGCATAATACTTCTTTAACGTAAAGTGAATCACCGCTTAATCATTTTTCATGTGGATATTACACCTTTATTGCGATTTATGCACATACTATTTAATCGGTGAATTTTGGATTCAGAGTTTTCAATAAATGACGTAGAATTTATGTAATTCATATTAAAAATTAAATTTATGAATCAAATATAAATAATAATTTTCAGTTTCATTCAATATTACAAAAGATATTGAACTAAATTAGATGCAGAATTGAATTAGAATGTTAAATTAGTTTAAGATTCATAAATTCTGACACTTTTATACCGAGAGTTTTATTTCAAGATGAATTTAACATGGACTTGAACAAATATTTTACGATTCCTTCATTTTTTCGTTGATTTCCGGCGGTAAGGGCATTTGATTACTCCTTTGTATGTTTATTGGTGTCAGGAGCATCTTTATTTTTGTCATTTTTTGGGATTGTCATCTTTACATTTTTATTTCTGGCAAAATCATACAGAGGGTTATCCATTTGAGCCTTGCATTCTCTGCCCAGTCAACCATTTTAGCATACGAATACTGGTTTTGAATGAGCGTTTCTAGGCACATGATTTGATTCCGCCAATGATATAAAAATGATTGCATATTCATTCTTTTTCGGTATTTGTAATAAAAATTCAGTACATTGCATGCTCGTAACAGTACAGAATCTGGCACATTATAGTTTTAACTTTTTACATGCGTTAATCACAACCGAAAACGTTAAATTACGTGCATTTATGAGCATTCAAAAAACGCGCTATTGGCATACCGAATGCATATTGCCATAGAGATTTATGGCAATTTGTTATCACATTTCTAGCTTTGTATACCGTTTTGCTTTACAAATTTATAAATAAACCATTGCGTTTCACAATTTAAAGTCGATTGTTAACATTGGTGAATCATTAAATCAAAATTCATAAGCATTCTTGTGCTGATAAGCTAACTAGCTATTCAAAATGGATGACGAATTAACTTTAAGAGATTATGGGTTAGTATATCTTAGCGTTTTGACGCTTGTATTATGATGCTTGCTTTAGCATTTAAGTTGACGTATTCTTGTGAATTTAAGATTAATCATTCTTTTTCATTTATTATTTAGTGATTTTATAATGGATTATATCAATTATCCCATCTGTCAAAATTGTGGTGACAATACGAATTCAAAATTCATCATGGAAGGATTCATATATCTATGTGAGAAATGTTACGATGAATTGAATGCAAACCAGTCGATTTCTCTGGATCTTACAACACACGTTTTGCCTGTTATTGAATTCGAAAATCCACCTATCATGCTATCTATTTCATCATTGTGAAAAAACATCTAAATGGAAGTGTTCAAAGACGGCTTATAATTATTGTGACGACTGCCATGTAACCAACTGTTTAATCAAAGAGAAAAAAAATTTTACATGTAAACCAAAAGCTCTTTTTCATGCTGGTAAAGAATGCTGTCAGATCTGTAAAAACTTGAATTCAGAATACAAGAATTCTGCAGGACAATCTTTTTGCTATCGTTGCTTTAAGACACATCCCCATTCATCATCTATCGTAAAGAAATCTCAACCATTAAAGAATATATTAAATGAAATTTTTGAATCAAATGCAAATTGAATTATTCAATCATACATGTATGATTGAAACGATGATCCGTACGATGTACGTATGATCCATTTTCTTGACTGCATGTGAATACTCTGAAGAAAAAATGAAAATATATAAAAATGTGAATTATTAGTAATAGGAATCAGGGAGGTAATAATTCGATTGAATTTAATTTTTCGCCTATTTACATCTCTATCTTTCCAATTCCACTTGCAACTCTTGCAGAGCCTGTAAGGGATGGGTCTCCAATTCTGAACAATTAGAGTAATTCTCTGCATTATTTACTAAACATGCATCCTTTATGCATTATTCGTGACACCACAAATCGTGGTTCTTCCGCTTTTGTAGCCCAAACGTATTCATTAATTGGAAAGCTCAACCCAGCAAAATCCAATTTATCCTGAAGTGAAATTTGATTAATTAGAAATATAATTAGAATTCAAATTAAATAAGAGAAGTTGATATTCACCTCTAAATCGATCATCTTTGGTTTGAATATCCTTGTCAATGGTATGGAATTGTCTGATATCGCCTTTTCATTCAAATTGTTGAATTCAACATTCAATGCTTGAAACAACTTGAAAATATTCTTGGTTATTGCTGTTAGTGGATTGTCAATTTGAAGAGTAGGGACTGTTTTGTTCAATATGTTGATCAAGTTGACTATCTCCAGATTAGCTTTATCAAACTTTTGTTTCTTTTCTTCTCGCAATTTTGTGATCAACGCTGTTTTCGTATGCAATCGTTTTTTTCTCCTTTTTATTGATAAATGAGATGCAGTATTCTCATTCGCTGAACGAGACGAAACACAATAACAAAGCCTACTTTTGTTGCCAATAGGTAAAACTTGACTATTGCTAACCTTAACTTTTAACTAGCAACTGGCTAACCGCTAAAAGACTTGAATGTGATGGATTCATTGTGAAACTGAATGTATGTAAAATTGATTTTAGAAATTCTCTTGGTGGATGAATTCATCCAAGTATTTCGAATTCCATTAGATCTCAATAGGAATTAAGAAAAGGGTTTGCTTGTTCCAGTTTACTTAACTTTCCAGCCAAATTGAATTTGATTGGCAAAAGCTGAATTAGTTAAATTGAGCAACCCAGTCAACCACAATAACCATTATGTCTAAAAATGAGCGTATAAACGAAGTGTCAGATAAGGCGTGGTAAATGGCATAATGTTGAATTGTGTACGCTTAAACTTGACAGGATCATTATCAAGTTTATTTGCGATATTGAGCGTATTTTAATTGGCATTTTAACGAAAGAGTGCACGAATACATTCATCTTTGCTCGTTGAGGTTATGCAGTGAGTCTAAATAAAGGTATACGCTTAAAAATTTTGCATATTTAAAAGTTTAATGCGATTTTTTGTATGCACATTCGATTTGATTAACAAAAATAAATTTTAGGGAATAGGATTATCGTTAGTATAAATAATGAATAATTGGTAAAAATATATTAATTTATGTCATTGAATTCATGTTGAATTTATCATTGAATTGAATAAGTTACGATTGAATAAGAGGACGGACAGAATAAACATTCATGACAAAGGAAACACATACGTTCATCATCACATTGATTGTAGACTATGAAAAGTGTAGCGATAATTCTTGATTGGTCTGAAGCACCCATTGTTAGCATTGTATCGAATCGCCAATCTAAGTTCAAGAATTTTTGATGTCCAATCAAATATATCATTCTTGAAAAGCATAAATCCGTTAATATTGACTTTGAAATTCTTTTTCTTGTGAATGTAAAACCAGAAACTGGTTTCAAGCCCATCAAAGTTCCTCTGAAAATGAAATCAGGTTTATTCTTGATTTCGTCTGGAAGCTCAAAGAACTCAAAGCTTTATGGGTAGTTAGAATCCAAAATCTCTAACAAAAATACAGAAAGTTCCCCCTCGTGATGGAAGCCTTACAACAACACCTCGTTTATACAGATGCGCATCTGGTTTACGGATAGGCGCGCGTAGGCATCCGAATTCTAAATGATATTTTTGCATGGATTCTTGTGAAACAAGTTTTTAGCTTTTGTAAAACAGCTTTATTATTTTCATTCAGGCTCATGCGTAAAGCGCACCTTTTGAGAAAATTCGCAATCTTAACTTGGTTTTTTTGTTTTTCTTTATTTATGGAATTTTGGCGATTTCCTGCGTCAAGAATATCTTCTAATTTCAAATTCGGTTGAACTGCGGTTCTAGCCAGAGTTAAATCACTCAGATATTGTTGATATTTTGTTTTTTGATTGCGATTTCTTTGATGCATCAAATTCACAATATTCTATTACCCAAAATAAATCCTTTCCAATTCTTCAATTTTATTTGAACGCATTTGGCGATAATCATCTGTGTTTTCGCGATAGTTCAAACATCTTGCACAAATGCTTATTTCATCGGAATTCATGAACTCGCTGGAATTATTCCAGATTCAGCACACAAAGTATCATAATTAAACAAAGCTTTTGGAGAGCAGCTCGAATTCGAACCCAAATCAACACAATTCCTATTATGGCAGGATTTACGAAATTGGCAAATCGTTTTGCTACATTCCAATTTTGCTTTCTGATGGCACATAGAAAATAATTAACAATTAAAGTGATTCAAAATGGTAAGTTGAATTGATGTTTTTTCACGATTGACGCAAGAGGCACAAAGAATTTTGAATTCTTGGAAATTAAAATAATATCACTTATACAAGGATCTCAACATGGATTTTGAGTGGTTGCATAATGAAATCACTAAAAAATGGAATAAAATAATAACAAGTTGCATGCAATGTGAATAGAATAAAAGTGAATATTTAAAGCTTGCAAAGCTAGTGGAGAAGCTTGTTATGTGGCTTTTATTTTCAAATTCGAATTCGAATACTTACTCATAAGCGTCAGCTAATGTGAATTTATATTGGTCAATGACATCAGCATTGTTGGCATCAAGTTCATTTTGTTTTATTAAATTCAATGAAAACTGACTTCTAGCTGCTTCGATTTCCCCAGCCACAGAATCATCACTGCTAGTAATTTTGGCTTGCATTAACAAATTGTAATATGACAATCAGAACAAAAGTTGTAACCAGTTTTTGAACATCTCCATTTAGCTTTGCTTCCACAAATTTTGTATAGAATACAGAATGTTGAATTATTGAACCGAACTGATGGAAATTCAGAATCCGTAACAGCAGCGCACTGATCACAAAGATACTTTAAGTCAGTAAGGAAGAATTCTGAATTTTTAGTGTCAACACGAATTTCACAAACTGGATGAATTACATTCTCCATGTTGAATCCACTGTAGAATAAAAAACACGATATTAATGACTAGAAAGCTTATTTTTATCTAAACATGAAAAGCTTTTTTAGAAAGCTAAAAAGGTGTACTTGCCTGTAATCTTTTGATGATACAGTAATTATACGTTTATTTTTAAAAATTCAGCGCCATCTACTATACTGCCGAAGCCTTATGTCTACCGTTGGTAGTTTAGTTGATGGCGCCATTTCTTCGCAAAAATAAACGTATAATTCCATTTTAGTTCTTAAGCTGGTTGGAATTCAATAATTCAGCAATCCAAAAATCACAGTAAAAAATGATTAACGAGTTTGAAGGAATGAGGGCCAATAAAGTGGGTGATAATCAACAGAAAAGTTTATAATGATTTAAAACAAAGTAAACTGCAAATGATTGATGGAAGAGAAAGATGAGAAAATACGATTCTGATCGATAGGCATTGAAATAAGTACTACTGGTGCAATTAGTGCAACTGGTGTACATCTGGAAGAATGATTTGAAGGCAGAAAGTTCTTATCAGTCAAAGATCATGTATACGCATTTCTAAATTTCGTTGGTTCTTTTCATTTTCAACTTGTGCATCGAAATGTATTTCATATATTTATAATAATAAGATGTCAATAATCTTGGCCAGTTTGATTTTTATACTTTGCATAATTATTCATAACTCACTTTTTTGCATAAGAGTGGCTTTCAATGAGCAAAGATGACAAAAAAGCGACGAGACTTAATTTTCAATGCTTTTAATTAGTTAGAATATGATTTAAAACATTTATAAATCATTGTTTTTTTACTGGATATCTGTATCTCATTATCAGACTTTACGAGTGAATATTTTCCTTGGGTTAATTGAATCTAAATTTTATGTTAGGTTGGTAAAAGCTGGCCTTTGGTTGAGTAGTGTTGAAAGCCATGTTTATTGGCTTTTTGTTGAAATCAAAGTAATATTCATACTCGTCGCTGAAAATTTTTAATGGTAGAGTGAAAGAGCATTTCCTGAGGCCTCCAATAATTGTTAACTTTGTCCATAAAATGTCTGCAGTCCAATCATTCCAACCATATCGAGTTAGGTAACGACTTTGAGATTTAAAGCTATTGGTACATTCAACAGTAAACTTGATTTTATCCGAGTTCGAAAACTCAATTGATCGATCAAATGGTTCTGTATCATTCTTCAAAGCGTAAATGAAACCTGTAATTGAATCTTTCTTTTTACTTAAAGTTATCTTATTCAACCGTTGAGGAGCATAAAATGTAATCACATCATATTCAGTACAATCAGGGAAAGACTCGTGGTAAGGTATAAGATGTGTTAAACTGGAAGCAACTAGAGATCTTCGACCATTGAGACCAAAATAAATGTCATTAGTTATGTTTTCATTGACGAGTAAATCACCCAACATTGTACGATTTGTGATTGGATATTTTATATGACCAGTCAATTCTAATTTCCAATTACATTGTAGACGATCGACATCTTTCTTTCTGTAGATCGAGTCGGATGTACAATTCAAGTTGTGAAATTTATTATTGTACCAAAATTGTAGTGTCATGAATGTTTTGGATCCGTAATGATCAGCAATCATGTCAATGGTCACATATTCAGCATTATCTTCACGATAACCTGAAAATATTACAGTTGCTTCACAAGAAGAGCCACAGTCAGTAGCACCATATCTATCGATGCTGAAGTAGTGTTTAGGAACTCCACATCTACTAGCAGCTCGGACTGTTGATAAACTTGTGAGGGCAATGAGGATAACTTTAAAGTAAAACATATTGATCACTTGAACCATTGATACAATAATGATCTAACTGTGATTCCAATATTTATATACATAGATTTACACCTGTTATTGAGTCACTGCAAAATTTGATTGATTATTAGATCTATTCTTGACCCATTGTGTGCCAATAAAAGTCAAATATGGTTTCGTCTGTATTGATATAATTTGAAACAATTGAATTAGTAGTGAATTTTAATGGCATTAAAATGTTAATCAAGACATGCATTCTGAACATGTAAATGTTATTAAAACGATATATTAAACTGTTAACACGGGCTATGAAAGTGGCTTCTGATCAACAGAACAGGTTATACTGATTTGAAACAAAAAACGTGTAAATGATTGATAAAAGAAAAATCGGATTGATAGACATTGAAATAAGTACTACTGGTGCAATCGGTGCAATAGATCTGGAAGAATGATTTGAATGCTAAAGCTCTGATTAAAATTAGTAAAGTTAATGTACACGCATTTATAAATTTCGTTGATCCTTCTTTTCATTTCCAGCAAACCAATCGTGGTATTAATATTTCAAAAGCAAGTCAAACTTGTTCATCGAAAGATGTTTCATGTATAATTTAATCTTGGCCAGTTTGTTTGTAATACCTTTCATAATCATTTACGACTGACTGTATTTTTTAATTAGAGTGGCTTTCAATGGGCAAAGAGGACAAAAATGAGACGAAACTTGATTTTCAATGCTTTATTATTGGATTAATATGTTGTTTTGTTATTACGACAGTTTACGATTGAATATTTCTTTTGCATTAATCAGACTTAAATTTGATATCAGATTGGTCAAAGCTTGCATTTGGTTGAGTGGTGGTGAAAACCATGTTTATTGGCCTTTTGTTGAAATCAAAGTAATATCTAGACTGGTCGCTGTAAATTTTCAATGGTACACTGAAACCGCATTTACCGGGTAGCTTTGTGAACTTAGGCCATATAACGTCCACATTCCAATCATTCCAACCATATCGAGTCAGGTAACGAGTTTGACTGCCTGCACTATCTGCACAGATAACAGTAAACTTGATTTCATCCGAATCTGTGAATTCGATTGATCGATCCGCGAAATATTGTTCATTTCCTAAAGAATAGATGAAACCTGTAATTGAATCTTTTTTCTTACTCAAGACAATCTTATTCAACCGTCGAGGATCATAAAATGTGATCACATCATATTCGGTACAGTCAGGGAAAGACTCGTGGTAAGGTATAAGATGTGTTAAACTGGAAGCAACCAGAGTTCTGTCACCATTTAGACCAAAATAAATGTCATTAGTTATTTGATCATTGAGAAGTAAATAACTCAATATTGAAACATTTGTGATTGGATTTTTTATATAATTAGTCAATTGCAATTGCCAATTACATTGAAGACCATTATAATCCATATTCCTGTAGAACGATTCAGATGAACAAGTTAAATTGTGAAACTCATTATCGTACCAAATTTCTAGTGTCATGAATTTATTGGGCTCGAAATTATCAGTAATCATGTCAATGGTCACATATTCAGCATTATCTTCACGGTAACCTGAAAATATTACAGTTGCTTCACAAGAAGAGCCACAGTCAGTAGCACCATATCTATCGATGCTGAAGTAGTGTTTAGGAGCTCCGCATTTATCAGCAGCTTGGACTGTTGATAAAATTACGAGGGAAATGAGGATAACTTTGAAGTAAAACATGTTGATCACTTGAACCACTAATACAAAAATGATTTTGAATTCAATATTTCAATATTTATATACACGAGTGTTCACCCATGATTGAGTCACCAAATTTAGATTGTCAGATCTCTTGGTCCAGTGTGTACCAATGGAGTCAAATGTGGAGTCAGGTGCTTTCTTCTGCGTTGATTTATTTTGAAACAATAGTGAATTTTGATAACATAAAATGTTAAGACACCCATTCTGAACATGTAAATGTTACAAACGATGGGATAAACTCCCAACACGGACTATGAAATGGGCTTATGATGAACATAACAGTTTATTATGATTGTTAAAAGGGAAATAACCAGAAAATAAGATTTGATTCTGATTGATAGGCATTGAAATAGGTACTATTGGTGCAATTAGTGCAATTGGTAGAACTGGTTCTCTCTTCATTTATTAGATCTTTAAGCTTTTGACAATCATTAAATTTCATAATTTAGTCCATTTTCCGTCATTTTTTTCTCGGAATTGTTTTCTTCATCAATTTCTCAACTAAGGCTTAGTGCAAAAGCATTGGGAAAATTCATTTTATTCGAGAATTACGACGATTTGACTGCATTTATTATGGTTACGATAAAAACACCGATTCCTAACTCACTTTGACTCGTTAATACGATCAGATAATTTATAAATCAAGATTTCTTTATCAATCAGTTAATCGCTATATTTTAGACCATTAACATTGAAAAGATAGTCATAAGTGAAGTTCAAGTTTGTATGAACTGAATCATGAATATCTCATTGTGGAAACAAGATATAACATTGAAATCCGGACTATGAAAGGGGCTCGTGATCAACAGAACAGTGTAATGATTGATAAAAAAGAAAAAACCTGAAAATATAAATTGGATTCTGATTGATAGGCGTTGAAATACTAAGTACTACTGGTGCAATCGGGGCAATTGGTGCAACGGGATATCAGTTTATAATCACTAAGTCTGTAAGCTTTTGCATCTGTAGCATTAAAAAAGCCCATTCACCGATTGCTCTTAAACGCTTAAATTTTATATTACAATTTGATCAATGTTTGAAATTCAGAAATATTGATTTTTTTGGCTGGCTAAGGAATGAGAATCTAATAGGAATATTTTGTGGCTTTACAGTTCAATTCACATTTTGTTGAATTGTATTCTCGCTTGAATAAAATGAATAAACTGATTACCTGAAAGTGAAATTATTAAACTCTGACATTGATTTTAATAATACATTTTATAAAGATACTTGAAGGATAATGTCATTATAAGATTACAAATGTTCATCCAGTTCGACCATAATGAATAATGAAGTAAAGCCAATTAGCCAGAAAGTCAAGCTAATTTACTACTCTAACTGAAAACTGAAAAACAGACGAGTTTCAGGTAATTAATTAAGATTTTATTTCTCAATCAGTAATTACAGACGAAGTTGTATCTCATTATTATTTTATACAATAATTTTCCCTATTTAATAGTGACATTATGTAACATTTTAGACTATCTCAAGTATATTATGTTAATTTGTATAACTGGAAATAATACATATTATTTGTTCAATGGTTAGAAAATAATTATTTAAGTTGAGATAAATAATCCAGTTGAGTTTCTCTTCAATCAATTGGTTATACTAACTGATCATTAAGCCACTAGTTCCACAAAATTAGGTTTAATGACGCTCCCTTAATGGTTTTAATTTGGTTACTCATTGAATGAGGCTCATTGTTCTCCATCCAACTATTGTGATATGTTAGTCATTTCATGTTTAATTTAGATTACAATGAACGGACAACACTTATATTTTTTAATCAGTGCTTGTTAATTTAATAATATTATGTGGTGTATAGATGATCTCTGTTAATTTTAGGCCAACAAGGTTAGCTAACAGACAACCTGATTTGTGATCCATGGCGCCACATTCATTGGTCCATGCTTTTGGTGGCTTTAGTTGATTTGGTTTAAAATTTGGCTACTTTTTGCCAGCGACTTGATGATGTTGATGTTTTACTAGGTAAGGATGAACGAAGTGATGAAGATCGCTGAAATGATTTGACACAGCATTTGAAGAAACGTTTTTTAACCTCAAATTTTATTCTAGGATGGAGGTAACCATAGACAAATGGATCCATCACGGCAGAGGTTTTGGCAAACATTGCTGGTAACATGGCCATAGTTGGTGTCAATAAAAGTGGATTAATTATACCAATCAGTGATACAACTGCATATGGAGTCCATGTAATCATCCAAAGAGTAATTAAAGCAATAGAAGTTCGGACTAAACGATGTTCCAACCTGATATGATGTTGTGTTCGCTGTTGCATCATTGAATTATCATCACCAGTTCCATTACTATTGCTGATTTCAGCATTATTAATGTTGCCATTAGTGACTCTGGAATTGGACTGATTATTACTACTCGGCGGACTCGATGATAAGGCATATTTTTTGAATCGTGCTGCTGAACGATGAGTTGCTCGATAGATACCAACATATGAACCAATGATTATGATTAATGGGATTAGCCAAGCTCCAAGGAAAAAGATCAATACAAAAAGCCTTGACTCTAATTTGGTTGAAATATAATCAAATGAACATGTTGTTAAATAACCTTCTGGTATATAATTGGTGAAGAAACCAAATATTGGTGGAAGGGTAAACATCAATGAATATAACCAGAGAAGTATAATAACCAAAATTGAGCTTCGAGAATTAAAATATGGTTGAGTAAAGCTTTGGTTATTTATGGTCAGATAGCGTTCAAAAGTAACTGCTGTAATTGACATAATTGTGACTGTTCCTGAAAGGCCACCAGCAAAACCATAAAGCTTGCAACCTGAAAACAGAGAAAAATGATTGAAAGAAACAAATTAATCAAATTCATCTGTTGATGTTCAATGAAAGTGAGAAAGGTGATATAACTATGACTTGGAAGGAAAAGAGTACAATGGCGGGTAAAATTTAATCAAAGACGAAAAATAGGCCCTGGCAATGTGTTTTCACAACAGATGACTTGTTGACCAGATTGTTAAACCATATTGGTCGTCACCCTGAAAATCTTCAGGATATCTTCATCTATGCTATCAGAATGCTATCAGAACATTCACATTGAGAATATCTAAATTCAAAAATAAAAGTCATGTCAAAACGAAAAAAATTGCCATAAAAATTTTGATTAAAAATTGCGAATTCGCCTTAATTTAAAGATTATTATTTTTATTTAAATACGAAATCACTATCACTGATTCTCCATGAATACAAATTTTTATCATGTGCCAAGAGCTCTTTCTCTCCTATCTAGCATTTTTCAATCGCTAACTGTTTTTTTTCTCGAATACATCAAACGGTATCGCAGATCAACAATTCCTATTTTCAGAAAAAGCATTAAATTTACATGAGAAAATGATCTGGAAATAAGTTTTTTACCATTTTCATTTTGAAATCCTTCTTTACTATTTGGAGTTAAATTGAAAAGTATCCGTTTATTGTATAATAGTCTAATCATGGTTTCTGACTTATCGAAATGCTAGTAAATTGTTGAAAGGTTTAAATGTTTACTCAGAATTTAAATGAATCAATTGCTTCGAAATGAGATTGAGAAGAGGAAAATAAAGATGATAAATCCTTGGATAACTTTTGATAAAATCAGGCGTTGACCGTGATGATGAAGTTAGTTAGATAACTTTCAATTTTTACCGTTCTTTACTCACCTTTTTTACCATTAGTTTATTTGTCATGTCATTATTGCAATGCTTTTCAATGTGGATTGACTTCAAATCCACAAAATATTCCTATCAGATTCTCACTCCTCAGCCGGACAAAAAAATTAATATTCACGATAAGATCAAAATTCGGTTCGCTGGTTCATTCGCTTTCAATCTTAAATTGGTCAAGATACAATTTTGTTAGTTCGAATTTTACTTTCCGCTGTTTCAATAATTCATTAGATACTTTGGAAAGTTGAAATGAATTATGAAGTTGATGCTTACACTTTCCTGTTACTGAGTTAGTTAGAGCATAGAAAATCACGTCTCAAGAGTTTTCTAATGATTATTGCCATAATACAAAAGGCTATTTGCTCTGACCATTGAGCACTACTAATAACATTAGAAACTAAGGAATGATATCATTTAGTGCAAGACTTTTTTGTATCATTTTGAGCTGTTTAAACACTGACAAGCAAATAGCAAGAGACCAAGAAAAGGAAATGTAAACATAAACATTGTTTATCATATCAACAGGGATGGAATGGGATGACAAAATTGAAATGATAGACTGACTGAGAAAGGCAAGGATGTAACCATGAAAGACAGTCTTTTTTGATGGATAAACATAACTTCAAGGCTTGTCAACATGAAAATGAATCAAGATTTAGAGCTTGATTTTTGAGCAAACTAAAAATTCGTCACAAATGGGAATATCAAAGCTTTATAACTGAAAAACCTTGCCATGAAATTGCTCTTCAAGCTGATAAAATTTTACAAAGTTCATTTTCCTCTCAGTAATACCTTTACTATCAATACTTTGTTTCAATTTGATTCACCTGTTATTTTTACCATCTTCTGTCTCCATGCTTTCATCTCAAATAACCAATTCCCTGAGTGAACTGGTGTGAAATGATAGTGAAGCTCATAGTTGGAGAATCAGTTTATTAAAAAAGACTTTTTACTGGAAAAAAAGTTATATCGAGACAAATGAAGATGATAGCGATTCAATGACTCTTCTCACAATGAAATTAATATAATCAATCCACAATTAACTTGATCCTGGATGGTTAAACAAAAGTCAATTAAAAAGGGTAAACCACTTTACCAGTCTAAGTAGTAAACCGTGAACAGGAAAAGCTAAACAAACTACAGATGTAGATGGTTTCAATGAATCAATTGTGACTTGATTCCCATTTAATTAAACATCAATTAATTTGAATAGTCACAATTATCAACACTTCCTAGTCTATCAACAAAGATAAACATTCATAAGATTGATTGACTTGGACGCAACCACTTCAAGTCTATAAGTATGTAAGAGATCGACATCTTTTGCTAGCAGTTTTTACCAACAATTATGTAACGATTAGTAGTTGAACAGTAAAACATAGACTCAATTTATGAAATATTAAAAAACATACGACTCTTGAATGTAGACTTTTGAGAACTGCTGTTTCCATGATTTATCCAGATAATTATGTCGAGATTTAAACATATTTTTAACTTGAATATTAATTTAGTATCAATTTGCAAGGAGTTAAAAAGCAGAGTTTATCAAATTTCTTTGGCTTTAGTTGATTATATTTCAGCGATAAATTGCTACATTTAGGTAAACGGTAAAACAGTTCATAAATATATGTAAATACTGATGAAGGAACATGTTATGCTGTAATAATAATGTATCGAGTAATTCACAAAGACTTATGTCCATTCGAATTGGTTGCTATTTTTTATCCTTACCTTTCATTTTTCAATTTTTGTATAAATTTTCCGATTTTCAATAAAATTTTATCGAAGCTTTGCAAATATATTTGTATTATAACTGGACGATATTAATATTTTTTGCCTTCATACGATTTATTTGTAAACAATATTGTTTGGTTTGACTTTTCAATCAGTGTTAAATCTTTCAAATGCAAGTGAAACTGGTGAAAAAACTCAGCTTTCCATGAAGAGATTGGGAAAATGTTCTCATTTCATCAAGGAAACCAAACTCTTTTGACATTGAAACTAAGCTCTAAATCTGAGCAAAAAAGCTTTCATGAGAGCCAAATTAACATGCATGTTTACATGTTTACATGTTTTCACTGAGATATCAAAGCCACATGAAGATTAGAAATAATCTGATCAACAAGAGTTTTCTTGATACAAAATATTCTGCCAGAATTGTAAACCATTTCATAACAGCAAAAATTTTCAGCAACAATCCAACTGATTGAAAATTGAATCTTTGCTGTTTTTATTGGACTCAATTACAAAGCTTTAAACATTTGTAAACAAACATTTCGATTTTTAGCAAAAATTAAAACATGTGAATCGATATTACAAGTAATTGTATCAATACTATACTCTTATAATTAAATTCAATTAAACTCTCTATCTTGTTTACAGCAGAGTCCAGCGTAAAAATGGCAATAATATATTTTGACCATTCTACCCACCTTGTTATCAAGCTAAATTGTCAATATTGTTGGCAAAGAATCGCTATTTTAAGCCTAAGCTGATATTTCACAATTAATTATTCAAAGTTGATTTTGTCTTTTCTCAATCCTTTACCTAACAATCAATTGATTTCTGCATAAAATCATCCTAAATTGAATTATAATTCTAACCTTGTTTAAGACAGTACTGTGTTTAGTACAATAATGTTGATTATTGTCGAAATCAATTAGTGTTAAACCTTAATTTTGCCATAGTTATTAATTTATAAACAGATTGATTAAAGGCTAGCAATTACAAATGTCTGTGATTGCCAACAATTACAAGAAGTGTGTTCACATCACATTGGTAGCTCCACTTAACGCAATACATCGGTCAAGTTTCAAACCCGGATATCTTAGGAGTCACTAGCAGATGAAAGTTTTTGGGTTTTTTATAACTCATTATCCTCTCTCGAATAACATTTATCTCATTAAATCTGGTTCGGGTGTTTAAAGTGCTTCCCTTGTCAGACGGCGACCATTAATGTTATATGAATGTCTCTAAAACAATAAAATAAAGCGATGTTGACACCTAAAATTGCGTTAATTGTAACTATCAAGTGTATTGTCACGTTTTTATTGAAATGTCAGGCACATGTCACAATTACTTTACCAATTGAAAAACTAGACTCAAATCAAATTAAAAAATAAAGTTGAATCTATTGAATTGGTCAATTATAATCAATAATATTCATTGAAGCTTATAAAATGCTTACAAAAGGCAGTTTAACAATTGTTGCCTCTAAATCAACTATTTTACAATTTACTTCCAGTAAAATTGCTATTAAAATGGTTATTATTTAACCTTAAGCCAACAGCAATATTTTACCAAAAACTGCATTCTCTATGGTTTTGACAATAATTGAAATAAAGTTCTTGTATCTTATTATGAAACTTTTGATCAACTTCATTCAGCTTCATTACATTTGATTACTTACATGAAAACTTCATTATTTTCACCAGCCTTTCCAGATCAAATGGTACCTTTTTGCACAAGATTAACCTGTCTTTGCGTTTGCAGTTTTGCTTCTGCTAAATTATGAAATTAGATTATTGTTTCTCAGACAAGTATCATTTCGTATATTAGAGGGTAACTGTGAAAATTTTGTTTCAATTGGTTTACCTGAAAATTGCACGAAACATTAGATAATGTAATGTCTTGATATAATAACGTGACTTCTTTGATTATCATCCCTGCACCAGACAAGCTGGAGGGTTCACAAAGTTATCAAGTTATACCCACTTTGTGCTCTCATTTACACCTGTAAGTCTATTCAAATTACTCCAGATAATTGTAATTCAACCAATCAAATTGTATATTAGACGAATTCTGTCTTGGAATAGTCAACAAGCATTCAAATGTAAAATCGTTCAACTTTTAACATAACAAAAACCGTAACAAATATTGCTTTTTCAATGGTAAAACGGTTTTGTTTACAATGCATTTAAGTTTATTCGGACTTTCAACTAAACTCTTTGCCATCGAATCGTTTAGAAAGGATAAAGTTTGGTCTTAGCGTTGTAATGTAATAAAGGGTCTTCTTAAAAATCGCAAAAAACTTTACAAAACAAAACGTGGATTGAGTACAAAACTTGATACAGAATCCCTTCCCATCGGTAATCAAAGCGTAACAATTAAATTATTTTAG